TATATATATATATATATATATATATATATATATATATGTACGACTTGTTCCCTCTCGCGAAACTACCCGCGCGCGCGTTTTGTCAAAGAAAAAGAGAGACTGTCTTGATTTGTATACTCGATTTGTACAGATCCGATAGTGCACGCAATTTCATTTTATACTTTTATTTTCCCCTTTCTCGCTAACGAGGAAGTCTCACAGGAAGTTTATCTAATCTGTCACGGATGGTGTCTAGGTTAGTCTCGCACAATTAACTGGAGTCTCGCACCGATAGCAGTAAATAATTAATCCCGGACAGACGATTCGCTGCTCTTCTCTTTGCGCCGTAATTCTATTCTATGATACAAACGGCTCCAAGACGATTGGATCGATTCAGAGATAGCGTTGACTCACACCGATGCAACCAGTCCTCGGGCGACGAAATGGCGTGTCATTCAAATTCCACATGTGAAAAAGGGCACCTCTTCCTGTACGATCTAACACGGAGGAAACACCTAGAAGTCCGGTCTATCACGGCGCGTCTCACGACTCGCAGCCGGTCGAGTCGTGGCCGGTTATTTTTTATCACGTTGATTTTTACAAACTCCCTTCATTTATTCATTCATTCATTTGTTCCTTCCTTCCTTCCTTCCTTCCTGCGGGAGGTCGCGCGATACGGATACGCGTGTTATATACACTCGGAGGGCACTCGCGTTCACCTCGTCGATTAATCGCGATTATGTTTGACGCGACACGAACGTCAAGCAACCTTAATCGCGGGGGAGCGTTCGGGGGCGGTGTACGTGCTAAGTACGTGCTTCGTTTTTCAGCGGTTTTTCAGCGCGTTCGGTTGCCAGGTTGCCTTCCCACGTCTTCCCACGTGGTCCACTTGGTGAGCGTCGCGACCCACGTTTTCGGTTTAGAGCGCTGATGGTTTTATTCATCCCGGACCCCACCCTTTGAATGCAAACTCCGTTCTAAGAGCTTCTCCCCGGCATTATTTCGCCGGGGGCGCGATGATCAATGTCGAGTCTTGCGGGATTTCGATTCCCTCTCGGTTGCCAGCGAGAGAAGGTTTCTCTCTCCTCTCTCCGGACGCGACTTACAATCACGCGTCACGGAATCGAATCGCCCGCTCTCGACGCGGCCCTGATCGGGCCGATGTGTGACGTCAGATACCGCCGCTGGGGGGTCCACTTCCGGTCGTGTACACGCCGCCGTCGCTGCTCTGACTGACGCTGCTGTAGCTCACGTTACTCGCCTGTCCGCCCGTTCCCATCCCGGAAATATACTGGAAACAGAATAATCGCGATCATCGTTTTCATCGTTGTATTGCAGCAGTATTCGCTGGAACGGGGAATCGCGAGAGGCGACGTCGAATAATGGGTTTTATACGCCCGTAATGTGCAAAATCGCTGCGGTTTTCCTCCCTTAATCAAATCTAAAAACACACACACCCACACGCACACGCACGCATACGCGCGCGTATATACGTGCCCTGCGGTCGAACGAGAGTCGATTTCCGGAGGCGAAGCGACAAATTTACACAGGCGGAATTTTACGTTCGATTATCCTGATTTGTCACCGCGCCCTTTCGCCATTACGCGCTCTACTCCCGTGCCAAGAGCACTCTGCGTCTTTCGTTATAGGAGAATTAACGAGTCTCGTGTCACGAATAATTCGCGAGTTTCTGGGCGCAGAAGGAATGAGAAGTAACCGATTATCATTAGCAACCATAGGGCGGTATTACGAAACTTTAATGGCTCAATCATCTAATTTATTTCCAGAGCAGTATTGGACTTGACGGTCCCACTAATAAGTGCGATTAAGGGTCCTTTTACACTCGTCTCTTCGGATGCTAAAATATTAGAGACTTGCAAAAAATTCGTCGGATTTTTAGCCGTATTTCTCTTATTGATAGTACTCTCTAAATTTGTGAATAGAATCTCAGGCAAAACGATAGTGAAGACACTGTCACACGAAATCGTAGGAATGAGTTCTCTCAAGCTTAAAGTGAATCCTGACTCTATATAAGTGAATATATTAATTAATTAGAATAGATACGTTATTGCGATAGTGGAGTACATCAGATCTACTCTACAATATCGAGCGATAATGTTCATTCCGAGTGGAGAATTCATTTTGTTGAGTGAGAAGTCACTCGAGTTCGAGTAACTCGGTGGTCACTCCACTTTCCGCGTGAAATTTCACTCCGAGAAATTTAGAGAGAGAGTAACAAGGAACATTTCACTAAGCTTCAGCAACTCTCGATAGACCAAAACTTAGTAGTTCTTCCAACCGTTCCATCGCCAATGAAATCGTCATCGACTATTGGACGAACTTTTGCAAGCCGATACATCCCGTGAGATTAAACGGAATACGGTCTGTGCCCGGAAAAATGGGAACGCTTTCATATAATATTATGGATATATATATATATATATTTTAATATCTGCGCGCATCTGTGCCCAGCACAGATACAGATATAGAACGGGTGTAGAGAAGGACCCTCTCGCGCACGGTTGTTTCCGTCTCTCCGCGCGAGTTTCCCATACGTAGTGTTTCGCCGCGTGGATTTTCGTAAAACGACTCGTGTCGTCTCGCGTTCACTCCCCGCGAAAATTAGCCGTGGTACTTTCAACCGACAACGAGCTCTCCTGTCGTCGTCCTAGGGACAATCGATCGATCGGTTTCGCTTCAAACGCAACCAGTCTCTCCGCGCTCGTTGCTTCCCTTTAAAGGTCGCTACGGATCAGCGACAAGCTTTACACTTCACGCTCATACCCCATGTACTCTCCTGGCTTTGCGCCGAATCGTGCGAATAGTGCGGTCGAAGAGACAACCCCACGTTGAATGGGGGAAAAAGAGAGAGAGAGAGAGAGAGGGGACAGGTTAAAAGAAGGATAGAGATAGCAAGCGAGCGAGCGAACGAGACAGAGAGAGAAAGAGAGAGAGAGGATTCAGGTGGTTAAACGGTTTTTCGATAGCTCTTGGCCGTAAAGCAAATAATTCAATATTCGCCGGAGCGACCAGCCGTGGAAAAAATGTCACCGCAAATGCGAACGAGTCGGGTTTCAATTTTATAGTTTACCGGTAAAGTGAACAAAGTGGACGTAGAGTGGGTAAAATGGACCGAGCGCGGACGTTAGGTTTGTGCTCGGGTCGTTCGCGTGCTCGCGTGTTCCGCCCGAGATTTCCCCCGTCGCCTTTTCGTTCGGGAAGGATAATGATCCGGGAATAAGCTCGAGAGATATCGCGTTACCGCGGATGTGATAATTAAGGACTTTCGCTCTCGCGAAGAACGGAGTTTTCAGACGAGCGCGCTAAAATGTAGTAACAGTTTAACGATAATAACGATAACGGCTCCGGCACGCGCGTATGACTTTCGCGTTCTCCAGGGACCGGGCACACGGACGAGTGATTTCGTACATTACAATCGCAATTCGCGCGATAATTCACAGAGAGAGGTGGCGCGCAGTCCAAGTTTTCCACGCTCGCTTTATCTTTCGCCGTCCTGTCTCCCGGGGATAGTGACCGCATCGGAGTTTTCTCGTTTGTTCTATCGACCATTGTATTCCCCAAGGTCAAACAGTGTTCCTTATTTTTGTCTTCTTGCGCTTTTATGGCTCGATGGCTTCTGCTCGCGAGTCTCGTTTTGGTAACGCGGCCACGAAACTAAAAGTATCTATGTAGGTTATTGGAGATTGTATGAGGTCGCGCGTTTATTTTAGATTTTTCATGCGCGGACACGTGAAATTTGCTTTGCATCTTACGATCAAACGTATCTATCTCGTTCATTTTCCCATCGATATTTCGAAACGTTACGTCCACATGTATGTACACTCTACGTGCACGGTCTACGGTGGAAAGGTCGTCAGCACTTTTCGTTTCAGATTTCGGAGCAAGTGAGTGAATCGTGCGCGCTCGTCCTCGTGGTTTTTACACACGCTAATCGACGAAATAACCTTAACCACGCAATGTAACTAGGTTATACGAACTTTATAACACAGTACATACGTTCACATCTCTGTGGCACATTAATGTGGGAGCTGTCACAGGACAGCTTACTATTTCAACACGTCGTCCTTGTTTCTTCAAATAATCAATAAGTGACTCAAATTATCAATAAGTAATAAATCAATAAAGCATATACCGCCGGAAAATTCCAATAATCTAATTGTACCACGCATTAAAGCCGCTCTATTCTGCCATTTAATAAACGTTCCAAGACACATCGAGGGAAAGTGTGTTTGCGATCTTTCTGCCGCCGATCGTACGATAATTGCACGCGTGTGCGATTCGCATTGCCCGTGTCGCGGGGATGAACGCACGTAAAAATGCTCCAATCGCGGAAGATCTTGAATTACGATTTCGCGCTTGAATCATTTTACGCTCGCTTCCTTCCGGCGTGTCGCGCTTGTCAAGAAAAACTTGACTGGAAATATATTTTGACGATATACGCGCTCGTTCGAGCGTAGAGAGATCGCGATGCGAACGTGGAAGTGCGCGGAGAGATCGGGGGATTTATTTTTACACTCGAGAGAGAAAGTTGTAGATAAGTGCCGACGAAAAGCCGTGTGCGTCACGTCGCGAAAGCACAAGTGTCGTTACTAATGCCTGCGCATACGTCGCGTATTTGATGTCGTCAACTTTTACGTTCCTTCGAGCGAGCACGCTCCCGTAGTTGACGATCACATGAGTAAACTTTTCCAGTGAGAGAGAGAGAGGGGGGGGGGGAAAGACAGCTAGAAAGAGAAAGAAAGAGGGGCAAGAGAGAGAAAGAGGAGGTAATTCGCTCGAATACACATGCATGAAATTTTCGAGTGAAACTAATTGAAGCGGAACTAATTGAAGGGTTTAAATAGGACTAGTCACAGAGGCGGTTATGGCCACAGACTTGCACTACTGAGGAGAACACCGGGAGATCACGAGAAAAGTGTGACAGACACCGCGCATTTCTCAGCGCGTTCTATTAACATCTCGACAGTGTCACATGAACCGCATCTTTCCGCCAATATGTGCCGCGGTCGGCGAAAAATAGCGATTGTTCCCGCTTCGCATTTATATTTTTACATATTTTCATGAACTTCTCTCGCGTGTCCGGGGACAACAATCGATATTAATAACGAGCGACGTTAAATAGCCGCCGCATATCCCACGCATAATTATCTCTCGATCGTGTTTCATAATCGATTTGTATATATACATATATATTTTTTTTTCTCCGTACACACTTTGCTACTCCAGAGTGAGACAAATCGAGAATGGAAATTGAAAGAGCGCGAGAAATCTTTCGAGAGGATCGCTCGCTCGTCGAACGGCACGATCGAGGCGATACAAATCTTCCGAAAGACGCGTGACGACAAGAAATATCCATTTATTGAGAGAGAAAGTGCATTCTTAGATAATGAACAGTGCCATGTGCCATGTGCAAGTGCGTATTTAAGATCATTATCACATTCACTATTGAACATACCGAGAGCTTTTACTCTACGGGAATGCGTTGATATTCGTTGATGTTCGTTGATCTTTGATACGTGAGGGCGTTTGGGAAGCGGACGCGGGATCGTGGTTACTCGGGGTTACCAGTTGTTAAACTATACTGGCTATTGAACTGTACGCTGCACTAAAGACGAAGAGGGGGGAAGGGCGGGGGAGAGCGAGACGTAAACGAAAATGGAGGATGAGGGCTTCGTGGGATTCCATGATCAACGATCGACGACCAGCTCGCGATGTGATGATATTCCGTTGTTAAATGTAGGTTTGCTCGCCGGAAGTTTCTCGACTTCCCCGAACATGATGGAGCGAATACGCGGAGTAGTACCGTCCGGATGCGAACTTCTGAAAAAAGCAATATACTGGATACGTTCCCGTTAACCCTGGCGGTTAGCGTTAATAACGCCGCGCCGTCAATGACATTATGACACGACGCGTCGCTCGTTCGCTCCGCATTCCTATCCGAGCTCGTTCGTCGAGTGTTCCAATAATATACCAATATTAATAAAAATAATATTTCTACCACTATCATTGTGTATGTATCGGCGTTTCTTACGTAAAAAACAATCTGACCGTGTTTCAAACTCATCTTCACTAAAAAATTATTAATCTGCTTGACAAGCGCGTGGAAATATATTCACTCCCATCTAGACTATTTTTCATGATATTAAATTTTATTTTAAATTCTAAATGGAGAGAGAGGAATTTTTTTGAAACATATATATATATAAACATATATATATATAAATCGGAATGAATTTTATTTAAATTTCAAGCATAAGATTACATTTGATTTAGAATAATTAATGTTGCGCGTTGATAGCCGAGCTTTACTCAGATCATCACACGCAGTCGTGATCTGCGCATTGCCATTGCCGGATAATATGCGAATTCTTTCTCCTTTCAAAATCCATTATCGCCTAACGGAGTTCAATTTTCGCAAAGTGCACACACGCGAGTGCACACACGCGTGCACCGAGAAGCGGCTGTTCCGATCTTTTCAGCGTAAAGCTGCTCGAGTCTTTATTCGCGAGTAAAATCTGCGGACTTCATCTCTTAATTCCACGGCTTAGGCGAGGGCCAAGAGGGAGGCCCGAATGAGGAGGCTAGATGAATTTTGGCAAGATTGTTCCAGCGCGAAATCGAGTTAGCTCTCTGAATCGAAAATTAGTTTCCGAACTGTGTAATCCTAATGTATCGGCCCGGGTTACGTGTTTTCGAAAAAACGGAGTAAACAGCGTGGCTTAGACTCACCTGGCTCGGTTTACACCTGAATGCCGGTTGATACCGCCGTCTCATTCGTCTGGGACAACAAACGCATAGAATTCTGACGAAAGCTCTGAAACGAAAAGGTAGAATGTATCTCGCAAGATTCCGCGCACGCGTCGTGAACGCAAACGCGTTGCGACGCGAGTCTTTACGATGGACAAGATATTTAACAAATTTGAACTGAACGAGACGCTCTCAATGGTGAAATGAAAAGGAGGCGCGTAAAGGGTGTGAAAGGTGACGCCGACAGTAAAGAGTCCGGATGATCGTGCAAAGGAAATAACTGAAGTGCGAATTCTCTACCGCTTCGTTCGCGCGAAGAAGCTCTCCGCCGTAGAGCCATTGTGCGCGGGATCGGCACTCGAATTCGGATTTCCCCGTTACGCAGCAAGCGCTGTGCAATCATGCGTTTATTCGACGTTACGGCGCAATGTCGTGATGCCAAGTGTGCTTTAACGTCGGGATCGCATGACTGCCATGTTTTTTCAGGCGTCGTGTGTGTACGAATATTTGCATGAAGGCCATGGAAATACAATATGGCGATAAAAATGCGATCGATATTCGCATCCGCTACTTTCGTGCCGCAGCGCACGAATCCGAAGGAATCCGAAATCCGGCTTAATTGGTTAACGCAATTGAGGAATGCAGGAACCTTTGAAATTCGACGTGTTTCGCAAATGAAGATGTCTTGCATTGTCGGCGACGGTTTCGAGTATTTTCGAGATTCACGCGCACTCTACGCGTCTGTGTATGACGTATTCGCGCACATTACATGACTTTGTGATACATGTACTCTTATATATATATATATATATATATATATATATATATATATATATATACACACACGTGCAAATATAGCGTGAGTCGCTAAGTGAATGATAAACGGATCTCTCTTTGTAAGCGCACGAACAACGTTACGTGATATTTACACTCAGCGACCTTATCCAATTAGATTGCTGCAACTGTACTTGCATTTGCGCGTCCCGATACTCGAGTACTCTCCCTCTCTCTCTCTCTCTCTTTCTCTCTTCCTCTATCTCTCGTTGGCGATACACAATTACGCGAATGCCGCATTACGAAGTAGTTCAGCCGCGGGTACACGGTGACAAGCGAGTGAGCTTACCCGAGCTACATGGACGACACGAAATCGGGCCGATTCGGCTGTTATCGAGACGCGGCAGCTCGTGGTTTCCTGTTCGTTATATTAATATCTGCCGTCGTGACGACGTTCCAGTCGCAACGTGTGTCCGGTCGCTCGATCATCTTCGAGGAGCTCACGCAGCGTTGGCAACAGCAGCGCAATGAGACCTCGGTACTCCTACCCTGCTTGAGGATGTACATGGACGAGTACTTCGAAGTACCGGGATGGGTGTCGATCGTGTTGCCGGACGAGTTGCAGGACACGCCCGATTTCACGGGACCGTTTATGAGCGAATTGCGTAAGAAAATAACGATCTACACGGTGAGCGTAGACATGATAAGCGTGATAAAGACGTACGAAGGCGCGGCGGACCCCATTTTCCTGTCGAAGAACGCGTCCGGCCTCGTGGGAAAAGACATCTGCCTGGCGAATCATTGCAAGCACGACTGCGACTTCATGATAGTGCTGACGACGCCGTTCGCCGACGAGGCGAGCTTCTTGGCGGAGGCCGACGAGCTAATACGACCCTTGTGCCTGCGATCGATCTTCGAGCTCGTGATATTGGCGTTGGTCGGGGATTCGGCTGTCATCGTCGGCAGCCCGTCGTCCCGGATCAACGGGTTATACACGATAGCCAACGCGACGGTTCTGGCTAGATGTGTGCAAGAGGATGCTGGTGCGATTCGATGGCAACGCTCCGTCGACGAGAGGTCGTCTCTCGACGAGAATGCCGTGAACGCGGCGATATTCGAGAATTTCCCGTTTACGATGCCAATAGACACAGGCCCGGACGGTTTGAGGTTCGACGGGATTGAAGGCACAATGGTCGAGCAGATCGCGCACAGCCTGAAGATTCAGTTGAACAGAGAAGTGATCGTCGACACGAACATGACTATCGAGAAGGAGATGCAATCGAGACTCTTCGATACGATGAGTAGCGACATAGTGTTTGGCGGCTTCCTGTGGAGCTACAATCCGAAAGTAGAGTACACCAACTCTTACGGTATGGTGCATATCACGTGGTTGGTGCCGATCCAGATGAACATCTCCCTGAATGGTCTGATAACGCCGTTCAGCGCGGTCGTCTGGTACGCGATTATTTGCACTCTGATCATCGGCGCGCTCGTGAAGCACTTCTTCATCCGCGACATCTCGTTCCTAGACATCGCCGGGCTGCTCTTCGGGATGGTGATCAATCGTCAGCCGGTCAAGACCTCCAGCAGGATCCAGTTCATCGCCTGGACGTTTTTCGGTTTCTTTCTCACGCAGCTTTATCTCGGCTCGATGGCCGATCAGCTGATGAACGCTTCGATTGACCAGATAGATTCCATGGACGACTTGATGAATTCGGGTCTGATGATGGGCAGCACCAAGCAATTAGCGAATCTGCTTAATACATCCGACAAAGGTAGCAACGACGACGACGCCGTCAGACATGCGATCAGTAAGCACATCGTGATCTTCGAAGAGCATACTTACAACAAATACATCGCGGATATCATAGAGGGCAAAAACGACACGTTGGCCATGCTCGTGATGTTGAATCTGTCGGACATACATCTGAGCGACATAGGGTCCGGCCATATCATGAAAGAGACCATAGGCACTTTCCCGTTGGCGCTCGCCACTTGGCGAGGCTTCCCTTACTTGAGGGATATCAATTTCAAGATTCAGGTGCTCTTGCAAACCGGTATCGTTGACCATTGGTCGGACATGATGGCGTTGATGACTAACTATGAACGGGGCGACGTGGATCAAGAGAACTATCTCGATATTATGGCACTCGCACCGGCCTTCTTGCTCTTAATCATAGGATTCGCCGGCGGATGTTTGTTACTCATCGTAGAGATTCTGTTTTATCCGTCGCCGTATTTGCTATGAGTCGAGTGTACGACTGCGCTCTCAAGTGTCTCGTTTCATTCGATCTCGACACTCGTTTCGTTCGATCTCGAAACGACGTCGTTGACACTTGCTCGTTCTCAGAAACACCTTCGTCATATCCCAAAGAGAGATCTTTTTCGGCGACGCGATAATTATCCGGGCTCATTAACCGTTCATAATAGCTCTGTCGAGGTCTCGTGGAATTTTTGAACGCGGCTCTCGGATAGTACAGCGCCGCGGCGAGTTAATTAGGAAAGTTCTAAGCTAATTTCATTAAACCTTCTTCTTCTCTTTCTTTCTCTCTCTCTCTCTCTCTCTCTCTCTCTTTCCCTTCTTTCTTCTTTCTATTTAGCGCGTCGAAGGACGTGAAACTTTGGAAATGTCGAAAATTCGTGCGGCTATAATAATGATCTTCCGATCAAATTTTCGTACGACGTGCGCAGCAGTGACGTGTTGTTTATTGTCTCTTTGTGATTACTTGCATTTTATGCGAGAAACGTTATACTACGTTAACTTATGGGTATAACTATTTAGTCAACGCAACACGGAGAAAACACTTGCCTAAATATAGTTGCCATAACAAAATATAAATGTTATTTTTCGACCATACAAGATGGTCGTAGTAATCATAATATCTTAAAAGTGGTTCTCTTTGCTGCCTATCCATACGTGTTTGAGCGGTACTCTCAGTGACGTATAATGTAATCAAACCCTATGAATCTTTCTGCACTATAGTATCTGCAGATCGCAACAGAGAAACAGCACAATATTCCTTCGGTTGAGGTGGCTGTATGTATGAGGATGTTCTAACTAAACTTTACATATCATACGAATATGGCTGTAAGAATCATATAGATGGCATACATACTATGTACAGCAATTTTTAACGTCATATCTGTTTAACTTGAAATCACATACATTTTCTCTTTAACCATAGAATACGTGGATGTAACGACCGTAGCAGTTTTCTCCGTGAAGTTTCCTTCTTTCCCGTCGGAGCAGTTAGCATCAGCTATAAGTATCACGATATCAGTAATCTTGAAGGCCATAAGCCTACTGTCTCTTTATAAAAATGTTAGTTGCTTGAGAGAGAGAAAGAGAGAAAGAGAGAGAGAGGGAGAGAGAGAAAGAGAGATAGAGAAAGAGAGAAAAATATTTTTTCTCAACATTTTAAGCTCTTGCTATAATACCGATAGTCCTTTAATACCGATGAGCAATATTCAGTAGATTTTGGATATGGATCTGTGTGTTTCCGCGCATGGCCATTCGTGTTTCGCAAAAAATTCGAAAACATCGTTGGAATTCTATTCCGTTATTCAGTCTCGGATTTCGATTTGATTAAATTCGCTAGGATATCTCGATGCGATGTCTGCCCGACCTTGTATGTGATCGACCGTTATTGGATATTTTAGCAGTATTTGCTTTTGTAGAATACACGCGATCGGTGAAAATAATAGATATACCTGCTATAACTTCTAACAACATTGCATTCTAAACTTTTTGCGTTCACGTGCTATTCTCCGTTGCATCTCCGAGGAGCATCAAAATTGTCGCTTTCGTATATACGATTATATTTATAGATTAACTGCAATTGTACGGGCACGCATAAAAAATCGTAGTAGGGCGGAGAGAAAGAGACGCGATTCCCCGTGCAAACATTAATCGGAAATGCGGGATAAGATTTTCCGCGGGTCTTCGTTTTCGGGAAGATTGACTTTAGAGATCCACCGCGGATAGATGCGCGCTAGACTAATAAATAAGGTGCGGTTTATCGGCCGCTACACATAATACACACACACACACACACACACACACACACACACACACACACACACCGTTATTTCTGCTTGCGTGCAAAACCGCGATTCGGCCTAAAGTGATACACAACAAGTCCCAATGACACATTTGTTTTCGTTACAAATTGCTGAAAATGTCGTCACTGTCTTTACATGCAAATCTGTGCACGTCAGATGAGAAAAGAGTCATGAACTGCTGTCATAATCGATGACGTGAACTCTCGCTCTCCTACAAATAGCCGTATATATAATATTGTCTCCTAAATCACGGTGGTGTACGCAAACACGAAGAGATATAGTGACGCTTGGCGAGATCCGTTAAGCCGAGTCTTATTATTAGTCAAGCGCGCGCGCGCGCGCGCGGATCCGACGGATCTCCAAAGTCAATTTTCTCGGGAACGAAGGCTCGTAGAAAGAAGAGAAAAAGGGAAGGAAATTTATCTCGCATTTTTGCATTTATTTTCGCCACGTGAAATCGGCTCCTTTCCCGTGCTACATTCTCAGATTCCCGATATATCTCGCATATAGTGTCGCATGCTGAAAATTGTTCGGTGCTCGAGACTATATTTCCGCTTACGTTGATTTACATGAGATGGATTTCAGTCGTGATTCTACTGCCTTGCTACTTCTCTGTTAGCTGGCGTTGCCTCATGCGCATGTTAACCTAATTTATGATTGATTCGAGCAGTCGCTTTGGGAATTGCAAGCAAGCGTGATGTGTCTGTGAAATAAACGTACCGTTATTCGCGCTAAATTGAACGTGACAAAAAATTAATAAGATCGCGCAGTCTCGAGAGTATATCTTCATATGCTTCAACTCGTTGCATGCTTAAGAATATATTGCCCATTTCTCAAACATAGTGAAAATCTTTTGGGAAAAATTAATCTTTATTGCACCTAAAAGTGTTCGCGAACAATTTGACATTGATTCAGAGCTTGGACCGAAAGCTATTCCACTTTCAAATGTAAGCCCAGTAAACATGATGACGTCAAACGAAGGTTTAACGACGCATTAGTGACGTTACTAACCTCAATAATACGTCATTAATGCGCCATTTGACGTCATCCTGCATCATTTGACTTGGGAGTATTTTAAACCGCGTTTTATGAAGATATTGCTGCTTTCAACAAAAGAGAAAGTAACAACAAAAATCTCAACTTTTGTATATATGTATTTTAAATATTCAAAATAATATATTTAAAATTTCATTATTCATTTAGAGATAAAAGTTTAAGAGTTAGAAATAATATAAAATAAAGCAAATAAACTATACAAATGGATAATATTAAAAAAATTAAAATGTTTTTATTTAATCGTATATATATCGCATATATAATATACGCACTATACGTTTTTATATGAAAAATAGAAATATTAACGTATTTATAATTTTCAGTGCATTTTTGCAAGTACATACTATACGGGCAATACATCCTTAAATAATATCTCCGTGTTTGGTAGTTCATTGTAATATTGTGGATATGTGAATATTGAATATTAATATAGTGTATTATGCGAATGTAAATATTGAATATAATGTGAAAACATAAGAGGTCGAATATAAATTATGAATAAATATATAATAATGAATATACGTATATAATTTCGACAATTCTCGATCGATAAAATAAAAGGGATGAAGGAGTATGCGATGTAAGTCATATTTTGTCTTTACTTTATTCCTCATCCCCTTGCTTCTCCTTTATATTAGTGTATTAAAGTTTGGCGAGTGACTTTTTTGATTAATTAACGAGAAAGCAGGGAGACGAGATAATCGTATCATTTTTATGTCACGGAGTAATTACGCGATCGATCACGCGATATGTCATTGGGATTATACAGACGCGACATTGTTCCCACGAACTCTTGTGTGCGCGCGCGGAAAAGTCAAAGAGCAAGACCGAGTCGTTAATCAGAGTGAATCCAAGCGTGATTTCCGCCCCGTTCGGTCGATATCGGCAACAAAACGAGCCAAACTGCGGACGAAAAGTCACCCGACCGGCCGATTGGCGCGACGCTCGTGTAATCAGCTATTGGTGTTGAGTTTACGTTCTAATGACAGCGAAACGTGCGTCGAATGCATTTCTGTCGGGATGCAATTGGACCGGGGGCGAGCGACACACCAAACCGGAAATCGATGAACTACGTCGCGGCATCATAATGAATGAACAACAACGCGGCCACTCACACGAGTCCCCCTATTGTAAAAACTACCCTTCTTTGTCATCCGTCTATTTCGCGCAATAATGTATAAGATATGTATGTATAAGATATGTATAATGTATAAGATAAGAAGCTTGGACACTAATAATATTGATACCAAACTTTGCATTCCTATTATTTCGGTTTTTAAATACAAATATTTAAACATTCAATATAAAGAATATATATATTGAATACATACATATATTCTATATTGAAAGTATAAATATTCATATTTAAAAACCAATAAAACAATAAGAATGTCCAAAGTTAGATACCAGTGATGTTATAGTCTCCATGGATTGGTACTTTTGCTTTAATATACATAGAACTATCTACTATTATAATGTCAAAGTCAATGTTATCATTACTATAATATCTTAGTAAATTAAATTTGTTCTGCATAAGAGCACAATGTTGCGGTAACTTCCTCTATCGCGGAGAGTAGCATGTTAGTACTATTAAAACGTTAGCTTAAGATGGTAAGATAGTTATATTTCGATATATATTGCAATTATATCAGAAAGAGGCAACCTTGAATTAACCAAGAAAACTTTGTATCAATGTTCGAGCTGAAAGTTGATTAAAATTTTCGGAAAGTAACATTTTAAGATCACGATAACATCGCTAACTTTTTTATAGAAGCTAATTAAGAGCTACTTGAGTTTATAACGATCGTTACGAGATGTTAAGTGCAATATGTCGTCGTAGGTGCCACGGAGGCTTTGCGAAAGCATTTGCGCGTTCTTATCGACGGCAGCGTGTGCATTCGAGTGACTCTCCAAACATTCAATTTATAGACACTGCAAGTGAAACGCAGCGAGTGGGAGGGAGGAAGAAAGAGTTGTTCAAGGAACGGTCGCGGAGAACCACAGCGCAATGTTGTCCGTGATAGTTTGGCGATCGATCGAATTTATTTTATCGCGAACGGAAGGCAGACGGAACTCCGACGTCGAGCAGCAGAGAGGGAAAGAGAAAGAGAGAGAGAGAGAGAGAGAAAAAGAGAGAGAAACGAGAGAAGCGAGAAGGATCACGCGAATATACATCGAGATACGAACACGCGGGGGATGCGGGTTTCGCGCCGGTTGCGTGTACCTATCCATCGAGGGAAGGTAGGAAAGTCGATCGAGCAAGTCGACTACGGTCTATACTGTACGTTAGGAAAACGCGTAATCCGAGCCTAGCCCAAGTTCACGGAGGGGCAAACAGAGATAACGGGGCTAAGAAGGAGAAGCGAGGAGCCATAGGGCCATAGGGCGACGAGCGAAGAGCCATAGGGGTGATGTAGCTCGGCAGATTTACGGCTACGGCTTACCAAGCGTGATCCGCGCGCGATCTTACCTTCCTCCACCCTTCTGCTGTGTGCCCTTCGCCGTCCTACCCTCTCGCCTTCTTCCTATCACTTTTAGCCGAGTCCTCCCGGTCTCCTCGTTTTTAGTAACGCGAGTAACGGCGAAATATACAGACGTTTTGGCGCCGAATGCGAGGCCAGCCCAGGCCAGCCCAGGCTGGGCGAGGCCAGGCGACGCGACGCGACGCGACGCGACGTCTCGACGACGTCGAATCCCAGGATCTTGGCGACTATGCACTGCGCCATTTGTATATGGGCCTCGCTTTCATTTTCATGCTTTTTTTCTCCCTTTCTCTCTCTCTCTCTCTCTGTTTCTCTCTCATTCTTTTCTCTCTTTATTCGCGAAACGATACGAACGTTCCGCATCGTCGATCACGAACGGAGAGACTCGGCGAAAAAGTCAATTACTTAGTGGGACCTTGGCACACTTTTAATCGCATTACACGTCCAATTGTAACGACGAACGTAGTACGAGAATAGTAGGTTTACAGAGCGCGGATGTAACGCGCGGATTATTTAATTTTCTTTCTCTTCTTGCTTGCCACGAGTTTCGGCGAGTTAGGCCGCGCCATTTCGCCCCCGGGTGCGCCTGCCGTGCGATATCGGAGTTTCTGCCGGCAACGAGAAACCTGCTATAGGATCCTTATCGTATTATTGGTCGTTACGTAGTTACCATAGTGTGTCTAACAATAGCGCGAGACTCAATGAAGTAAGACACAAGCGGGAATTCTTATCGGACGATGAATCCGGCGCGTCATTAAAATTTCAGGAAGATACGCGAGGCTTCGAGAAAAAAAGAGGAAACAACTGCTAATGCAAATTTCCGACTTTTTCGAAGTTTTTAATGAAATCCGCCGTACGCTACTTATTTGTTCGTTTCCTTGCTTTTTCTTTATTTATTTATTCCAAGTGAGTTTCCGCTCTTGTATATTCGTAACTGACAAAAACAAAGAGAGAGAGAGAGAGAGAGAGAGAGAGAGAGAGAGAGAGAGAGAAAAGGGGGCGGGGGGAGAGAGAGCGTAATTACAGCGTAATACATATTTATTAAATTTGTTTTGCCTCGGGAGAATGCAAATCGCGCGCGCGTGCCTGCTTTTCTCTCTCTGTGCCCGAATAGTCGAAATATACAATTACTGGACAGTATAAGCGAACAGCGAGATGAGATTGTTTCTTAAGATTCGCTGTCTGAGGATCGTGGGCGCGCTGTTATCTTATTTTTTTACTGTCGCTACCGCCACGCTCGATTTATATTAGTCATATCAGATGCCGGGGATAAAGGGAAGGGGCGAAATAGACATTGTTGGAGAAACGGAACATCGACGTCGCCGATCGTTCGCGAAACAGCGACGGAAATTCGGCCGGCCTTGAATTGGCAGTCTCTTTATGAGATCGGTGACCCAGTTTTGTTCAGTCCACCAGCTAATAGAATGTTATCGGTTGCCTTCTTTCCTTCCTTCCTTCCTTTCTTCTTTCTTTAGTTCCTACGTACCTCCGAACACCGGATAAGCTTTGATTTGTATTTCCTTTTTCCTCTCAGCTCGCGCGGATAATTCCACGCGCGAGATCCGCGTTGTTATATCGTTTTCCCCGAGCCGTCTCTTCTCGCACGAGTCGGCGTTTTTACGAGACCTTTCCTCTCTCATTCCGTCATTATAATAAAATATACCTCTATTTTCTCTCTCTTTCTCGCTCTGCGTAAATTGTGTGGGTGTTTTGTCTGATAGCACATTGCGGCATGTGTATCGTAAGGATTTGTACATGTATTAAGCGCGCTCTCATAATTACATCTCACTAGAGCGCGTTAATGAGAACAAATAACCGTGCTAAGTTAGTTTCGAAACGTTGTTACATCGCAGCAGCTAAATACAATTTTACGCGAAAGTTGTCCACATGTGAGAACATCTTCGTTCACGTTTGTCGTTATCGTACTTTATCGTGGATTATTTGCCGGAATGCATGGATTGAATTTTTTCAGCTTACAAAAGTACAGAGAGACGAAGTAACATTGACATAGAGAGAAAAATAGGGATAAAGAAAGAGAGAGAGAGAGAGAGGGCGAAAACGAATGAATAATCCACACGATACAATACAAAGTAAAAGTTTGAAATGTGAAATTTGAGATTTCACGTTCTCGAAGGCAGATTACTCTACCGGCCGTACCCTCTAATACGGCTTTTGTTGAGTGCGAGCAATCCGTACTGCCCTGTGATTCAAAGTTCTTATCGTTCCGGATGACACGGATATACGCGCACTCCTTGCGCGAAATATTTATGACAGACGAGATTGCGCGCGGACATGAGCGTATGTTTTCCCGTAGGATATTTTTACACCATCATTTTTTACGCGAGAGTTAGCGTTTCTTCTCTTTCTCTCTCCTTCTCTCTATGTTTCTCAAACCGATAAAATTCTTCTTCCGCATCGTTCGTCATCTGGAGAGAGATCTCCCAGGGATCCGTGTCTGTTCTACTTCCGAATCGGAGAACGGAATGTGCACTTACGTCTGCGTCGCGCCCGATACCGTGTACTCGTCGAAACTTTAAATTGCATCACGCTCGCAGGCATGCCTTCGTAATTTCAGCGAGGACATCGCTCGTGCATTATCCATTGTAGCGATACGAGGAACGCGAAGGAGAGAGGGCCACGTTCCTGCGCCTAGTTAAACCTTCGACAACTCCCGGCGGGCTACACTCCGTGGGGGCGGTATTATAAATTCAATCCTTTCGGGCTTTTATCGACAGCCGGAACGTCATGAAGCTACGCCGCCGGCTCCACAATCGGAATCGTGATTCAATCGAGCTCGCGAGCGCGACACGCGAACAGCAAGATTCAAATCGAGTTAATCGCGCGGCTGATTCAGCCGATAATAATCGCGCGGCGAGAATATGCTACTATTCCGGCCGCGCGTCTTATATTTGTGATTTTCACATTGGATATTAAGAGTCTCCTGCGAAAAGGGAGGTCTCGCGGGATCTTGTCTAAATATCCCGTCGATTATAATTAACCCCCGGACGCGGAGGTGTCCGGGGAAATGTGGTGGGCGTCGTGGATCAATGCGAGACGACGACGACGACAACGACAACGGTGACGAATTTCCACGGCTGGATTCTCTTTCTTCCGATTAAGATCGTTGATATTGATCGAATTTCTTTTACATCTGCTGCATACTAACACCGCTGAGCCCATAGGCCGTCTCTCTCTCTCTCTCTCTCTCTCTCTCTCTCTCTCTCTCTCTCTATATATATATATATATATATATATACATTGAGAGAAAAATTTACTAAATTTCAAAAAACATTTTTTGGATAGTACTGTGAAGATATTTAATTAAATTAAGTAATTATTTTATAAAATTAAAGAAACAAATTTATATTTAAAACTTCCTTATTTAATTTTAGAAAATAATTACTTAATTTAAACAAATATCTTCACAGTAATATCCAAACAAATGTTTTTTTGAAATTTAATTTATATATATATATATAATTCTTTCACTATATTATTCACTATATCATTAGTCTCTCACTAGACATTGTTATTTACATTTTTACAATACTTATCTATACTACGTATTGCCATTGTAGTTTCTTTTCGATTGCACATATAGTTTCTTTTCTTGTCTTTACACTACTTTTCAGCCGTATTTGCTTTTTGTGTATCTAAGGAAATATTTGTATTATCCTATAGGATAATAAACTCTACTCTACCCTACTTTCTCTCTGCCTCTATCTTTCCCCGGATCGTTCGTGAAAGCTCAGGGCGCTTTCGTGCACCGAGTTGTTGCGATTGCTCCTTTTATTAATATCCGCCCGTCTAGAGCGATCGAGCTATCCATTTTACGACCTAGAGGATAGGTCCTCCCAGCCCTGTCTACCATAAAGAAAGCACGCGGTCTATTGATTTTACATTTACCTGTATGGACGGAGTAAATATCCGTGAAGCGTGATAGTTACACGTGGGATTGCTGTACACAACGCCGTTTAGCGTCAGCGTTACCCACTGTGTATATCGGCCTCTCTATTCAACGTCAGCGTTACATCGCCCCCATCGAGTGGCGTAATTTGCTGTGCGCGCGATTCGCGATGTACCTACCATGCGGACGTGTCCACATGGCGAGACAGATCAGCGCGTTAATCCATTGCACTCGCTGCCTGACCAAATGGACGTTGTTGTGTTGCTGCTGCTGCTGCTGTTGTCGTTGTCGTCGTTGTCGTCGCTGTACAGGCGCAATTTCTCCCATTACCGAAACGCACCGCGACGAGTGGCGTTACATTAACGGTCGTTACGTACGTCGTACGTGTGTACACGTTACTTGTCGCTTTGGCCACCGGCCGGCACACATTCGTCCGGCATTCGTTCGTTTCGCGCCTCCATCCGTTTGCTTTCCGCGACGTTGTTTCAATTTCGCTGTTTCACCCGCTGTTTTTTTCCTTCTGATCGGTCAACTGGATTCACTGTTCGACGTGCCGTCGCAAGCACTCAAGGGCGACCATTTTCTCCCATTTTCTTTCCTTCTTCTGCGCGACACAGCGAATCCATCGATCTCATTGTTATTTATCGTTTCCTTCTTTCCTACTTGGGACCGTGGGACGATTGTAGATGAGCGCTTCTTAAGCGAGCCGGCGCGAAGACGCCGTTAGAGAGGAGAGAATTCCTCGATTAGTCGTAGTCGCCGTGAAGTCAAGAAGGTATTTAAGGTGATGAATGTTTTTTTTCACGAGAGCGTCTGCGCTTTGGAGAGCGTTCGGACGGACAGAAGAGGAAAATGCCGGATGCGCGCCCCGTTCCTGAAATTCTCCGGGCTCATTTCGCGCGAGCGAGTAAAAGTAATTTGCTAAAGGGTCTCTGCCTAATCCACCCACAATCCCGTTAGCCAAATTCTCTTCTCTTTGTGGAAAATCCCCGCCGTATACGTATATACACACACGTTTTAAAGGGAGAAAAAGCCCCGGCGAGAGTTGGCTTAAAGTCGACTCTGGAGTCTCGCGCGAGTATTACCTTCTCCTACTTTTCTTTCCTTCAATCTCTTTCTCTCTTTTTTTCTCTTTCTTCTTATACTCTCGGACGGCTCTTGCTCTATCGGATGGATATCGTCCTCTTCGTTGTTAATTCGCTCGATACCGGCGCACCAGCTTAGCGCGCTCAGCTGGTTACGTCGGTTAGGGCAGAATAAAACCGATATTCGTATTAGAACACGACGACAATCAGCGGGTGAATAACGGCTGATGTCAGCGTACGATGATGGATTGTAAACTGGACTGTGTGTCGCTAGTAAACCGATGTGCGCGCGGCGTCCAGGTGTGTAGGTGCGCGTATTAATATCCTCTGGTATTACTATCACATTATACTTGCTACGTGTGGCGCGAAGAGCACACGAGGAAGAAGGCAATGTCAAGTTCCGAGACGGTACATACGCGCCCATTACGTTGACACTCGTGATTAAAGCATACCGCATTTAACACGTTGAATGCCGCGTTGGCGCACTGTGATACCACCGCGTCTCATTAAGTTGAGTAGAAGGTTAGAAGTATAATTAAATACATCGAAAAAATTGGCGGTGCAGCCAATAGAGCGTCCGGGGAATGAGATGTATGAGTTTCGAGTGACGTTCCTCCGATGTATCTTTAGCAATTGCATACAGAAAATTGCGTTCAAATAAATGTTATCTTCGTTTCACTTCATGACTTTACATACGTCCGCAGATCCATCACAGGTTTGTCATAAGCATCAGATACGCAATACAGTCTACATCCTGGTAAGTTTAGCATGTCAACAAGGTATATTAAATTCGCAAGTTGAGACGAAAATTTGGTTCGCCCACTATATAAGCCTGTACTAATAATCGTCGCTTGAAACTCGTCTCACGTGAGATACTCAGGTCGGAATTTAAAGTTAGGTCTAAATCTTCTAGTTGAATCGTACAATATACATGACTTGTAATCTTGTAATCGTGATTCAACTGAAAAATTCACATCAAACTACAGATTCCAATCCAAGTATTTCACTCGAGACAAGATTCAAGTAACGACTATTTTTATAGACTACTGAGGCGATCCAACTTTTTCTTCCATGAAATTTTATAATATTCTTGTGAAGAGAATAAATTCTTGAGTATATTTTAAGACTATTACTGAGAACAGATTCTTTGTCGAAGACAAGCATTACTTAAGGCCATATTAATAGTTGTCACTTGAAACTTATCTCATGTGAGGAATTTTTATTCAGAGTTGGATCCAAGTTTTTCAGATGAATTATGATAAATGTGACATTTAGGTTTGTAAATGCGATTCAACTAAATGCTCCCTTTTAGCTATGAATTCAAATGTCCTTCTTAAAAGGAGAGTGAACTGAGGAGTCGATTTTCTCTGCAGTGGAATGATATTTTTCTGTGTATGAACCATCAGTTAAGCATTCGTACAATCAATGGAACGAGATGATCAACATGTTAAGGAAAATAACGTACAAGTCCCAACGCGCAACGAAACAACCTCAAATTGTTGCATGTTGCGGTGAAACACTTTTTTGACGTTTGAAGCGCGTTAACATCGTTAACGTCAAGCTCGTCGACGAGTTACCGTGTGACTGACAGGGACTGACATTCCTTCGCGCTGCTAATATATTCAAAGTCGGAGTCGGGGTAAACGTTTCCGAGCGGAACGGGATTTTTCCCATCTGGATTCCTATTCACACGGTGCTGGTTGTGCACGCAGTAATAGGAGGAGGAGGAGGAGACGAGAAGCGAGAATATCGGGAAGCGAGAATATCGCCGATTAAATGGGAGCGCAAAAACTCACCTACGGAAGTCCCTGCTCCAGCAGGCGTATATCACGGGATTCATCCCACTATTAATCCAACCGAGCCATGTGACGGCCGCGGATACTATCTCTTCCTGCCAGATGCACCTCGTGCAGAAACCCGACCAGAGATTCACGACGAAGAACGGTAACCAGCATATAATGAAGACGCCCATGACAATGCCCAAGGTCTTCGCCGCCTTCTTCTCCTTGGCGAATTTGGCGAGCTTGCGCGACAGGGAGAAATTTTTGCCGAGGTGCTGCTTGTTGTTGATCCTCGCGGACGGCACGCGAGTGAGACCGTTATTGTGGAGAGCGGTCAGCGGCTCCTCAAGGTCCTGCAGCTCCTCGGGCGTGCTCGAGGTGGTGCGAAAGAGGTGGCGAGCGTCCGTGTTGGTGCCACCACCCCGGTGTATCCTCAGGGTGAGCTCGAGCTCGCCCGAGGCCATCATCACTTGCTTCGTGCCGAGTTTGAGGCTCCTCGTCTGTATCACGGCGGCGCGGTAGATCCGGTAATACGTGAACACCATGACGAACAGCGGCAAGTAAAAGCTGATTGTCGACGAGAATATCAGGTAGCCGAGATTCTCCGTGAACGGGCACTTGTCCTCTGGCACTTGCTCGGTCCGCACTGCCCGCCACCAGGCGATCGCGGGGAAGGAGATCGCGCTCGAGCAGATCCACACGATCGCGATCAGGATAGCCGCGCGTTTCCGGCTCATCCGCGTCGGATACGTGAACGGGTCGGTGATCGCCCAGTAGCGGTCCAAACTGATGACGCACAGATTAAGGATGGACGCGGTGGAGAATAGAACGTCCAACGAGCGCCACACGTCGCACCAGTCGGTCGTGAAGAGCCAACGGTTCTCCAGCACCTCGTAAACCGCGCTGAACGGCATCACCACCAGACCGACCAGGCAGTCGGCGAAGGCCAACGAGGTGACGAAGTAATTGGTGGCTGTGTGCAGATACCGTTCCCTGAACACCGCCAATATCACCAGCGTGTTGCCGAACACGGTGGCCACGGAGAAGAGCAGGAGAACGATCGCGAGACCGGCGCGATCAGTCGCGAGTTCCCAGAGGTCCTCGTACGTGCTGTTGAACGGCGGATAGCTCGCGTTGTAGAAGCTCCTGCCGAGATCGTCGTTGTTTGCTGCGTGTACCTCGTCTTCCCAGCTCAGCAAATAGATCTCGCTGTCGTTCATGTTTCGTCGTGCGCAGCCGTGCCACTACGACGCTCCTCTCTGCCGATCGCGATCACCCTGACGCGCGACTGCCCGAGACGACGATCTCGACCTTCACGATCCTCGCCAAGCGGCGGCTGGACGTCGCACGGCTACCCTGGGACTCGCTCGTTGCACTCGCTCGATCTCCGATTCTTCTCGTGCGTCTTCTCATCTTGACCTCGTCCCGAGCGTGTCGCGAATCGTTCACGATTCCGAAGTCGGGGTCGCGTTTCACTCAAGGATTCCTACTGCGGTCTCCTCGGCCGTATCTCCTTGTGGAAGCTCAATTAAACTTGCCCGACATTCGTCGTGCTTATCTGTCCGACAAAATGTCCTTTGGCACAACGCGTCCCCTCCCGACTGCGATATTTAAAGCAACGCGCGGAGAAAACTCTGACATAATCGGCGGGATAATGCCGAAAGTTCGAATGCTCCCTCTAATACGCACTTGTCGGCTTTTCGTCCATGCCCCTTCATTTTGTGCAAAATTCGGGAGCTCTTTCCCCACACCTGGAACAAGCGAAGCGTTCGTAAATTCGCGCTGTTCACCGCACGCCGATCGACGCTTTCGTGTTCTCACACTGAGAGAAAAAAATAGTTTGAATAACTATAATCTCACTATATTTTATAGTTCGTTTTGGCCTCAAACATATATTTATAGTTCATCTAAACATAAAGATATAGCAGAATTAAAACAGATTTATAGTCATCATCTTATTACTCTATGTATATAGTAAAGTACGCTTTGGAAATATAGTTACATGTATCTATATTTTCCAAATATTCCAATTGTATTGACCATACAAAATAATTAATTTCTCTTACCATTCAATATTTGCAAACTTATTTTATTTTTTATTTCAAATGATTATAATTCTTGGTAAAAGTTTTACATAGGTCAGTTATACTATGCTTATATTGTAAATATTACAAACATTATGCTAAAATTTACTATAAAAATAATATTCCTAACTATAATATTTTTACTATGCCATTATAGTTCCAAGTATCATATATTTTTCCCTCAGTGCACGATTGTGCGATCGAGAAGATTGAAGAGATGCCAATGATGCAAAATTGACAACGCTAATATATTATTTTTATACAGTCGAATTAATTAAATTAATTTATTCATCAATTAAATTACTACCTATTAAAGTAAGTAAGTAAACGAAAAGAAGAAGGAGCGTAAAAAGATAACTATCCATATACCATACACACAGCTCTCGACTTCGCGTTATTTAATACCAGAATGTCCGGTGGAATTATTTTGACATCTTTAAGGACTTCTTGTTGTCGCTATTTCTCCTGGTTTAGGGAAAACAATATCTTGTGATTTTTAAATTATATTTTAAATTATATTTTTAAAATATTCGGAAGTTATTGACGGACTAATGAGGAACAGAGAGAATTTTAAGACGTTAGAGTCGTAAGGAGTCAAAATGACTTTTTCGAACATCCAAAGAGAGTTATAGTTCCCGGACATTCTAGTGTTAAGACGAACTCTGCAAGGCTTTTACACTCCGTTGCCGCGCGTTACAGAGTACACAGACACATACCGTAAACCGCTGTCGCGGATTAATTGTAAAACAGTCAACAAAGTTGAAGGACAAACGCGTGCCGACGCGACCTAACTTGGAGTAAATTCTCTCGCTCCGGCAATTTTATTAAGTAACAACTACCGCTTCATTTTCCGTCACGGGCGTGACGTCTGAGAAATTTCACCCTTGGGACTATGTGACGAGCGAACTCTTTCGGGACGATATTAAAACTATCGCGTCGTGCTGACGTTATCGTCGTCCTCGTCGTTCTTGTCGTCGTCGTCGTCGTCATGTATTTCGCGTATAGGTCTTTGATCCTTTTTCGAAATCGTTCTGGCCGGCACGGGTATATTGGATTTGTGCAGACAGAATGCGGCCAGAGCTTCATTAAAGACCAAAAGAGGAAAATTGAAAAGGGACTGTCGGTACTAGATGGATCTCCGCTAATACGTTGACGTGTCCATACGGTCGTAAACAAAAAATGTAAAGAAGACAAAGGAGGGGCGACGTTTCTGTAGAATTCGGATGACACCCGTAACATTGAACGAAAAGCTCGCGTGGTATACAGTAGGTCGGAAAACGACACAATAAACTTCAGAGCGTAGTCAATGTTCCAATAAAAAAACGAATTAGTCAAAAATAAGTTCTCTCATTAGACCGTCGACTACGCTCTGAAGTTTATTATGTCTAAATCGTTTTGCGATGTACTGTACACTCGGTTACTAAGCGGTTATACGCGTTTTTCCGAATGAAGTTGTAGCGATCCTGCTTGGAAACCCTGCTGATGCGTCCGCGTTTAACTGTAATCAGTTAATAAAGGAATGTACTTAAATCTTTAGAAGTTCGTAATTTAAATTGCGGGAGAACAGCAATATTTGAATGTTATATTGATGAACTTTATTTTCACACTCTATACTGTCACTTCGACTCTTGTCATAACTGATTGCAGCGCGAGCGCGTCGGCGGTTAAACGTGTCAGCGGTTAAACGCGTCATTTCTTAATTCGTGACAAGCACTATTTAGTAATCGAGTGTACGCGCCGCCATCGCTCGCGCCGCGCGTGAACAATCAGTTTCAAAGAGCTCCGGCGTTTTCTTTCCCGGCGTTACAGGCGACCGCGGCTATTTATGGATAATTCATCGTTGAGTGATTATCACGATCATCTTTGACCCCGCACCCTCGCGTCCTCGCGGCCTTCCTCGTTTTAGCAGTGTAACGAACATTCGATATTACACACGGCCGTTGAGGAAGGCCGCCGTTGAACTTGGTCATTACGGATGAATAGTATCGATGGCGATCGATAGGCAGGCGGCACTGCAAAAAGAGTAATTTTTCTAAAGCGGCTCGCGTTCGTTAATGAGGAATATTTTTCCACGAGACGGCTAATTGAAAATATCCGGCACGCTCTCGAAAGTTTACCGCGCAATTCAGTTGATTTGAGTTGGGCGTGCGACGTTGCGGGCAAATACGAAAATTATCTGAAGAACGCGCACTCGTTTAATGCTTCGCGACATATTACTCCAGCGTAGAGGATATGCTGCTTTTCGCTCCTTCAAGTTTTAAACTCAACTCGTGCACTTGGGCTTGTATTAATAGAAGTTACTTGAAACTTGTCCCACGTGAGCTACTCGGATATAAATTTAGAGTGAAATTGGAGTTTTTACTTAAGTACATGCACAGACCGGTTAAGAGTTTGAAGTCACTGATATAAAAATATTTATCAAGAGTAATTATCTGGATAATCAACTGAAGTTCAACTCACATCTAACTCTAATTTCAAATTCGAGTATCTCATTTGAGACAAGTTTCAAGTAACCACTATCATTACAGACCTGAGTGTCTCATCTGAAGCAAGTTTCGGCCTAAGATCCGTATTAATAATTATCACTTGAAATTTGTCTTGAAACGTGAGACACTCAAGTAGGAATTTGGAGTTAGGTCTGAGTTATTTTAGCTGAATCGTACGATATACATAACACATTCACATTTAACTCCAAGGGCCATATTAATAATCGTTATTTGAAACTTGTCTTAGGTAAGATACTCAGATTTTTTTTCAGAGTCGAATCCTAGTCATTTCAGTTGAATGATGTGATAAATGTGACATTTATATCTGTAGTCGCGCGATTCAACTGAAAAACTTTCATCTAACTCTCAACTGAAATTTGAATATTTCATTTGAGACGAATTTTAAGTAATGCTTATTAATAACGAGCGCGTGTTACTAATCGTCCCATGAAACTTATTTTATGTGAAATTTAAATCTATAGATAGATATGAATTTTTCAATTTTTTTTTAATTACACGGTAATGATATATGATATTTATATCTGTAATTACACAATTCAATTGAAAAATTCTCATCCAACTTTGAATTGAAAAATCTGAGTGTCTCACTAGAGAGGAGTTTCAAATAATTAATACTATTAATAAGGATCCAAGACTTGTGGGCTGCCTTGAAAAACGTGAATACGTCGACTGCGAGTGCGGACGTTCCCAAGAAATCGAAGCGAATCATAACTGCACAAAGTACAGAGCTCGGGAGGCGAAACTAAATGATCGTTATGAAAACGCGTAAGGTTGTAAGAAGGAATGTTTTCCCTTAAAGAGCAAATCCCTTTATCGCGTTTCCCGACGAGGGTCGAGCTAGATCTTCGCGTGATCTCTTCCCCTGTTTCTTTAGTGTATGGAACTGCGATAGGCGGATCAAGAGCGGCTAGAGATAACTTACGTAATGCAGATCGAGGGAATAAAAGAGGAGATACCGGAGGTAGAGCTAGGAATTGAAAGAAAAAATTTGAGAAAGAAGAGAAAACGAACGAACGAAAGGAAAGAAGATGAAGGGACAGAGGAAATGCGATATGAGAGGATTAGAATCACTCCGCATACATATAACGGCACAGTAATAACGTAAAATTACATTATACAGTCGCGCACGTTAAATTTACGATGAATTTATCGAATCTCAGGCATATTTATGTGATTCCTCTGTGAGGGGACAGGAATTCATTTGATGCCGGGGTATGTGACATCCGTAGTTCCCGCTCTCGTTCTATCGGCATAACTTACACGGTAATGCAAATTAACGTCGCCGAGTCGGAGGAAGGAGGAATCTGTTTCACGAGGCTTGATCGCAATCGCGTTTGCGGCGCGTCCCGGCGCGGCTAATTGAAAAATTGCATAAGATTGGCCGGGTGATAATCGCCTAAGCCGGAAGTCAGTGGGTGCCAATAGTCTATTATCGTTCGTGACACTCTCCGAGTATTCGTTTTACGCGCGTCAGCTGCCTTTTTTCGCGAGCACAGCCGAGATCTGCTCGCCAGAGAGCAGGTAGTTATAGTTAGATTTACATACGGCATTATCTCTCAATTATTAATTTTCCGGCTCGCGTGAAACATCAAACCGACGGGACGGGGCAGTCGCGCGTTCTCTCTGGGGCTCGATGTATCAAACTGAATATAGAATGCATCCGGATTTTTCGCGATTCAAAGTCATCGATAATTCTCAAGTCGCGTTCTTTTTATATCCTGTCCTTTGGTCATTAATATACAATGGAGATACGTTAAAGCGAATTTACCTGATCGCGCTCCGTTGCATCGTAACGAGACGACTCCTCATCGCGCCGGCATAATTAAACGATCCCCGTTTTTTCGAGCGCTTTCCTTTACGCGAACGGAGACTGTGCTACTTAAACGTTAAGTTTGAAAATTATTCGCGGTACAATTAACGCCCTCGCAGAGTTCGTCTCGTCACACTAATACCGGCCTTGAAATCTCTCCAAGCAGATTGGACAAAACCGCGGTCCCGTGTGTCCACCTCAAAGTACAACAATAGAGACATGATAACGGGAGCGTTATTGAGCGCGTCATATTCGGGATTTGACTCGGACGCGATCATTTCTGTCACCGTCCGCCGTCACAATGTCCGGTCAGTGGAGAGACGTATGAATGTAATTGATTCACGTAGCCCTCGGGCTTTCTCGATTGAATAGCGAGTGCCCCCTCTCTCTCTCTCTCTCTCTCTCTCTCTCTCTCTCTCTCTCTCTCTCTTTCTCTCTTTCTTTCTCTCGATAAGCTCTCAATCTTTGATAATCCCTGTTCGTTTCAGGTCGACTATCTCTTTTGCCGTCTTCCCTTATCGTCGTCCTTTCCTATCGCTGTCGCGTATCGCGTATCGCGGTGTGTATCACGAATTTCAACCCCCTCAAACAATTCTCTCTATAGACATTTACAACGTACACTTCCCGGAAGCGGACGTATCAAATCGAGCGTCGGGCAAATCGAGCGTTAAAACGCCGCGTTCGAGTGACGTGCTGTAGAATAGCGAGACGCACAAAGGTAAAAATAAACGAACGGGCGAAACGATCAGTTGGCGAGACGAAATGAAAAGGACGACGTGACGGGCGACGTGATGAGAACGGAGGACCATTCGCGGGAGATTCGTACGATCGGCTCGATTTCGATCGGTCGATCAGTCGCTCGCACTCGCGCCACCCACCTCGAATCGGAGGCGAAATCGTTTTCAAAACGACAGCGGTCGCGCGGCGGCAACGGCGCGGTCGAGGATCGCGTCGCGAGGATGGCGCGCACCCACTGTCAAAACATCACCAACTCGTGTACCAGTAGCAACAGCAGCAGCAGCAGCAACAGTAGCAGCAGCACCGTACGAATCAGCGACGATCGCCGTGGGTGCCTCCGTCGAGAAGATATACGCGGGTACCGCGCGCGCGTGCCCCATTAGCGCGCCATCGGCGGATAACGCGCGCTAATTGTCCCCTAATCTGGCATATCTCGCTAGCACACGACGAACTCTCAAGGTCACGGGCTCCTCTGATCGCCAGCGTTCGATCGATTCGCACGATTGATGCACGCTGTCACGATGCTCGTGGCGCGGCCGACGAAGACGACGGTGCGGTTGATCTCGCTCGCGATCCGGCTCGTGCTGTCGTCCGGTGTCGATATCAAGTGTGAGCGAGCGGTAAGGAACATGATCGAGGAGGAAGGGTCGCCGAGACAGAGCGCGGCCGAGGACGCCCTCGAATTCTCGCCGGGATCGCGCACATACACACACACGCGGGGGAAAAAAGCGGCGGCGAGGCGCGGATGGGCTCACACGACGGCGGCGGCGGGCGGCCTCGCGTACTACCTCTTCCTCGAGAACGCCGGGACGTGTTTCGCGGTTTTAGACGGTCGACTGCTACCATCGCGTGGCTCGAAAGCTCTGCACCCGTCGCGCTTGCGCGCCGCATCGAGCCGCATCATCCCCGCGCGCTCACACACACGCACTTTTGCCCTTATCAACTTTTGCTCGAGGCACCCCGTTTCTTGCACGTGCGTCACCGTCGCGAATATATACGGATGTGACGTAGACTTTCCCGACGTGCCTGTCGCGAGACGATATCGGTGATGCGGCCTTTTTTCTCGAGTACACGACCGCACTCGCGGAGGCCTACGTCGACCCCACGTCGACCCTAGCTCGCCTACGCGGGCCCGCTCTCCTTGTTTCGTTTGAACGGATTTGTCTGACACGGCTAATTGAACAGGCGACGGGTTAATGCGCCCGCGAGAAGCCTATCGCGAAGGTGAGATTTTGGCGCGAACACGTGTTTCTTGCGTTGCCGGAAAGGAGAAAATTACGTTTCAGTTGTTCTGTAATTACATTACAGTTGAAATAATGATAAGTATGATTAAACGCGGCAATTAAAATCTGACTATTTAATCGAATGTGAAGACTGAAATCCCTCGAAGAGCATGAAAGTAGCCGAAACGCGTGTATGTGTGTGAAAAGAGAGAGAGAGAGAGAAGGGGAGAGAAAAAGGGAGAAATGTGGGGAAGCAGTTGCGGCCCACGCCTCGATTAAAACGCGAATCTGCACACGGCTTTCGATATTTTTATTATCCAGACATTTCCGCCGGTGCTTTCGCGCGCGAGTGCAATGTAACAATTATACGTCGGATGGAAGTAGCATGGAACGATGGCTTTTTAATTAGAATGCTAAACGTGCGAGGATCTGTCGGAGCTATTTGTGATTTTCCTCGCAACATCCTCCCGCGCCATCCTTCTTCGCCTGCTTATCGTTCTCGCAGCATCCAGGTTTCGATTCGCTCTTGCTTTTGTCCACTTTACCGGACATGCAGCAACCGGACATGCAGCAACCGCCGGCTATCTCTCTCGCCCTATTATTAAAACGCACAATAATGACGATCGAACAAATTGCGAGCACAGGACGGATGTAATATATTCGCACAGATTCATCGTGAAAATCGATTTCATTTAATCGATTCGTCGAATTCACAACGATACTCGTACAAGTTCAAAATCGAATTTGCCTCATGAATAAAAGATAAAAGAAAGAATAGCCCATATGGCCGCCTTTTTTAACCTTGTCGTAGAGTCGTACCAGATTGCAATTGGCAGATCACTTTCTCGTAGGGCAACAACTCTTTCCGTCCGTACTGACTTCGCTACAACATCCGCTGCGCTTTTGCTTCGTACCGGCGCAACATTTCGAGCCGCAACATCCTCCTTCTGCCTGCTTTTCTCTGCGCATTCAGTCGAGTCAATCACTGAATTATGCATCAAATAACCGGGGGCGCCGCGACTCTCGAAAAATCGTTATTGCAAAACCAGGCGACCATATAGGTTTCAAAGTGAACTCTCTTATTTAATAAAAAAGAAAAAAAAGGAAAGGGTGAAAGAAGAGAGAGGAAAAGGTCTCAGAAAAACGCAGAGATACGGTAATCATACGGAGGTATGTGTATGTGTGTGCATCAAGAATAAACGCCTGTGCTGATCAAAAAGCTAGTGATTATTGCGGTCTTTACTTTTTGCTGCAACATCCACCAATGTCTTTTTCCTTGGCTTGCGAATCATCCTTTTTCTCAGCACTGTGAACATACAATACGTATCTCATGTTACGTGTTACACACCACCTACACATGGAGATATATTTATAAATTTATAAAAATATATATAAAGACACTCACTATCCGCATCGGCACGTCACCTGACCAGCGTATCCTTTCTGGCTAGTAATTTTGCTATAAAAAAGTCATGTATTATATATAATGATATGTCAGAAATAATCGGGGGGTAGCGTCATAAATAATTTATACAGTTCCGCGTCGTATTATCGCTCTTTTCGCACACCTGTATGCATATATCGCTTTCCATACACACATATGCACACATGTGTGCATAAAGAGTGACGATAAGAGGTTAAAAATGCTTGATCACTTACGCACAATGATCACACATGATCACACGGGCTTTTACGCTGTTACGTGTTACGTTACAATTAAACGGTAGCGGCGAGGCGCAAAGGATCAATTACGAAGGGTGAGCGCTTCAAACAAACAATTCCTTTATCCCGGGGTGAATTTTGAAATTTTTAGCGAAACGTGTGGTGTATTAATTGCGTCAATTTACAGGAATTTTAAACAAACGTTAAACGTTACCATGGTCACTCGTCTCTTTTTTTTCCTTTCTAGCGGCATTTCTTTTTCAAGGATATTCTATACAAATATATGAATCACGTCATATTTAAGGATTAAAGAATTTCAGACTATATATGATTTTTCTGCATCATTGTTCGTCATGTTGTGCCAGTCTGGTTAAAAAATGTTTCACAACGAGAAGCAAAGCGTAATCTTTGAATAAATCAGCGGTGTAAGTAATTATTATTCGAGAGGAATAATATAAAAAAAAGGAGAAGTCACGAGTTAGTCTAATATTTTTCACATTTTATTCGCAATGAATACGTATCGCATGATATGAATACGCGTGATTTTTATATATTTTACTTAGGGGAAACGCGCAGTTTAAGAAAAGACAATCATCATTTTTTTCACTTCTTTTTCCTCCTTTTTCTTTTTAATCGTATAAGTAGCATTTTACATCTGGCTAATTCATACTACAATTTCCATTAATGCTTTGTACGACGCGATGCTTTGTGTTACTTAAATACACAGTAACTGTCGATTTCATATGAACGGTGCGCTTTTCAAGATCTGCAAACAAGATTTGTGTGTCGTGAAAAAATATGCAGGCTAGATTTACATACTTTAATAGACTTACTTGCCGCTGCTCCTTAACGTAACACATGGCGATTTGGAAGGCTTTATCGCAAGCATTCTCCGCAGCTGAAAATTTAACTTTTCGATTAGTTTGTTCTCAACGACGGTTAGTTTAACTTCGGAGAGGTGTAGAATACTATATTTTACGGGAAAGAGGAAAAAGAATTCTACGAAATCTCTTTTAGAGGGAGAGAAGAAGTGAGAGACATAACAACCAAGTCGACATTATTATACAATGAGATACCCGACGCAGAAGGAAACGGAAGGACGCGCCGAGTCGTTACACGACAAAAGACTTAGGCGAAATTGGAAAACTTACAAATTGATTTGCATTGATTGAGAATCCTTCTCGATGATTCTTGCATACTACGTGGCAGATGACGTAAGGCTTTTTCGAGATCTATCGTGTTGTTCTCGTTGAGAATGCCACTTTTCACCATAAAGCATCTCAGATAACACTTTAATTTCATGTCGTCTTGTTCGATGTTGCCATTCCTTAGTTGTCTCAAGGATTCTGCATCAAAGAACACGATTAAAAAAGACGAACTATATGAATCCACTGAAAATCAAAGTGTTTTAAACGCGTGTAATTAAACATTAAATATGTAATTTAACTGAAGCTCTTTTTACACGTTCTGGATTTAAATCACATTATCTAACACGTTTAAAACATCTCAATTATGATTTCACACGTTTAACACATTTACGTTTAACACATGTTCAATGACATATCTTGAAACGTACAAAACATGTGAAAAGAAATTCAAAGTAACACACTTGGATTTGCAGTGTTCTTGCCCAGACCGCACAAATTATATATCTAAAAGATGTTTTAAAAACTTCAAAAAAGCATGTAAAAGAAATAGGACACCTTCTGAAAACGTCTTCAAGACATCTTTTAGTAGACTGTGCTGTCTGAGTGGGTTAATGCAAGAGCAGTACACAAAAAGTGCTTACCCCAAGAAACTTTTGTTTGCTGGCGACAATCTCGCTTAATGTCCGCTCGTGCTCGAACATATATATAAAATTAAATAAGTAAATAAGTTTTATATAATTAAATAAGTTTGATAATCGCGTTAAGTGACGATTCACTTGCTTTCAATGTGTTCAATAATTGATCGGAGCTATCTTTAAGATCACAATGAAACTAAATTGTGAAACTCGAAGTGCACGGACAACGTAAACTTTGCACACTGTAAAGCGTAACTTCATTTAAGTCTCGAAGATGCACGAAGCGTTAACACTCTTCGATATTTTTGTACACACGAAATCGCGGAGAAAATCCAAAACATCGTCGTTCGACTTTTTTTTCAGAGACACGGAAAAGGAAGATATGTTGCGCATAACAAGAAATATTTCGTCGAGAGCAACACAATTGCGTCACACTAATTATCTATGTGTGATGGTAATGTGTATGGTTGATATGACTGACTTTAGTACGCGTGTCAACTACATCAATGTAGTTGCGCGTAATCTGGCTGTGACAACCAAGAATCGATTGAGATAACATTCATCAGGGATACACTTAGGTTGGAGCAACCAAATATCGTCACTGTTGCAATAGTAAATCAATAATTGTTCCGTGGTTGCAGCAACTATCCAGAAAACCGAAGCTGCAGAAGCAGATTTTGCGCAGTATCTGCTATAAATTTCGTCGATAATTTATCAGCAAAAATACAACAGAATCTGTTAGCAAAGTATGATGACAAATTGATGGCAAAAATCGAGCAAGACTCGTCGTTCCATACGCGAGCTGCGCATAACCACTTAAGTATATTTAAATAGAATATATTGCATAAATTCTGCTCGATTTCTGCCGCCAATATGCTATCAAGTTGCCCAAATAGAACAGAAAATCACAATGACGTCAAGATGACGAGAATAATCGAGTCGTGATTGAAAAGTGAGTTTTTCAATCATTTTCTCGTCATTCTCACATAATCTTGACGTCATCGTGATTTTTTGTTCTGTCTGGATTATGTCAGCAGTCTCTGTCGTCAGAACACGAGCTTAATGCGGACGCAGGTTACTATAAATTTGCTATGATATTCTTATCGAATGTGCTGCTAATATGCCGGTATAGTGTTAACATTTTGTTTATTGAGCATATCGTTATTTGTTCCGTATTTTATTATTGAATCTGACTGGCACAACCAGATTTATATGTGAGCAGACTATACTGTGTTTTTTCGTACACTTACTAGCAGAAGCGATGTGCCGGCTAAGGCAATAAGAAGTATACTTGCAGCTTGCATATTTGCGGAATGTTTACTGTTGGCTGCCTAATGTTCAAGAGCGTTCCGAAAAAACTGTGTGCCAGGCAATACTAACGTTAATAAGGATATATATTGTTGATACGCTCCCTTCCTCCTCCCCGGACGTAAAACTCTTGTTAATGTTTGATCTTTGATAGCGGTGCATAATTCCCGTGCAATCGTATAAATGTCGGGAGTAAAACCGAACAAATGCCATAACAATCAACTTTTATGCGTAACCAATAAAACCGTCACTGATTTTATTGTTGTAAAATCATTGTGAAATATTTCAAAAGCTCTAAATGCTTCTAGCATTATTCAAGCAAATTATTTCCATAGTTTGACTATTCTCATTTGTTCATCATTGCCAATAAAATATCAACCCGATGAGAAATATGAAATATAATCGAATTAAATTTATTCAAATATTTTTAAATTTATTTTCATAATATTGATCGCTGAATAGTTGTATTATTTGAAAATTAAAGTTGCACCGTTTGAAAAGAGACTGTCCGACTTGCTATTTACTCATATTACAAACTCGACTTTTTAATAGAAACAGTGGCGCCTCGTAGCGATAACTTTTAAATTAATAAAATTGACAGATAACTTAGTGAAGATTCGAACCTCACTCAATCGCCATATCGATTTGAACGTCATCTGTTGACAGATACTCGAACTCTAATGGCAAGATTATCGATGCGAATGCGTTGTGCTTGCTGGCGGAGCTGGTCGCCTTCTTTAGTACTTCGTCTTCAATGGTTGATGGCCGATGATTCCATGATATTTCTTCGACTCCACGTTGACACACGTCAACATGGCTTCTAAAGAAAGTAACCTTCCCGCATTATATACGGAATTAAACAAATTAGGACAGAATGGGGAATACGAGAGAGCTTTGAAAACCGCAAATAGAAGTGAGTGTTAAAAATTAATTATTCAGTGGAATAACGTAAAAAAATGTCGGTAATTGCAATAAAAATAATTGCTGTCTTACTTACTGCTGCTACACTTCACGTCTTTGCGGACAATGTTATGTTCCAATTTTGTTTTGGAATAATTTGTATCTTTGATAAAGAGTACTTGAAACAAGAGCATCTTTTATTTGGAACCTAAAAGTAATGCACACTTTGTTATTTAGTCTTAGGCATTTCCCAAGATGAAGAAGCAGCGTTACACTGCAAGATCATCTGCTACATACAACTGTCCAAATTCAATGAGGCGTTACAGATTATTATTAAAACTCCCAAATTGGCAACGTAAGGCAATATTATTTAGCATGGGCTGAGTATCAATATTGCACTTTGGTATTAATTTTATACTAATACACATCTATTTTACAACATTAGTGTTATAAGTATTTCAGTATGTGTGATACTGATATATTACTGATATTATAATTCACCAATTGTACCAGTACTACTGTTGTAAAATACTGGTATGGAAATAATATTTTTTATACTGGCTTCAACTCCTATTATTTAGTAATATCATTTTATTGTAACAAGATATATTGTAACAATTTTTATATATCTCATTTTAGAAGTTTGGAATTCGAAAAAGGATATTGTCTTTATCGTTTAAATCAAGTTTCTCAGGCACTGAAAGTGATAGAAAGTGTACAGAATCCTTCTTTGAAGATTAAAGAACTAAAGGCTCAAATATTATATCGTTTAGAAAGATATGAAGAATGTTTTGCAGTATACAGAGACATTATCAAGAATTCACATGATGAATATGAAGAGGAAAGAGAAACTAATCTTGCCGCTGTGCTTGGAAATCTAGCGATTGAGGATTCTGTAAGTTTCTTGCATCAAAAAATAACAAAAACTTAATTAACATTAAGACAGTACAATAAAGAGAGTTTTTATCTAATTTATGGTAAAAATTGTAGGATTTAGAAGTTCCTTCATTACGTGAGCACACTTACGAATTAACGTATAATGCAGCATGCCGCTTGATTGCCCAAGGAAGCAGAGAGGATAGAGCAGCTTTAATAGAAGCTGAAAAGAAATTGAGAGTTGCTGAGAAAATGTGCAAAGAGGGTCTGGAGGAAGATGGAGCATCTGAAGAGGAAATCGAAAATGAATTGGGTGTAATTCGAGTACAGCTTGGCTATTGCTTGCAATTACAGGGACGAGAAAAAGAAGCTCAAGCATTATATACGGCTGCTTTGAAAGCCAAGCCGGACGATATCGCATTGGTCGCCGTAGCCAGCAATAATTTAGTATGCTTGAATAAGGATCAAAACGTCTTTGACAGTAAGAAGAGAATGAAAAGTGCCACCCACGAAAGTCTGGAGCACAAGTTGACATCCAGACAACGAAGAAATATCGCGTACAATCAATGTTTATTAGCATTTTATACTGATCAAGTAAGCCTGTGCTGTGCAAATTATAACAAATTATAATAATCATTCATCAATCTCACTAATTAGGAAAATAACATATTATATGTTTTTCAGAGTGAACAATGTCACCAACTATGCAATAATCTCGCAAAAGATCATGTTGCGCGTGACCTCGCAGCGGACGCGATGTTCGTGAGAGCTGTACAACTCAGCAAGGAAGGTAAAGCGTTAGACGCAGCAAAATTATTGAATCAGCATGCGATCGACGAAAAGGAGTTGCCAATGAAATTGGCTAGTGTGCAAGTACTTTTGAGTCAAGACGAGAGAAAAGAGGCGATCGCTATTCTAGAAAATCTGAACGAAAAAGATAGGTCTCTACCAGGAATAGTCAGTGCGCTCGTAACGCTCCACACGGCCGATAACAATCGTGAGAAAGCATCGGAGGCTCTGAAGAACGCGGTCGCTTATTATAAGAAAAACAAAGTACGCACATATTGATACATATACATATTCTTGCGTTGATTTTTATATGTGTCATACAAAGAATTTCCTTTCAGGATACCAACAAAAATCTGAGTGAATTATGGCGACAAGCTGCTAATTTTTATTTGCGAAGCGGAGAACTCAAGATCGCTGCCGACATTCTACAAGAATTGGTCGACGCTTCGCCGTCGGACACCAAGACCTTAGCTCAGCTAGTAGTCGCCTATGTCCAATTTTGTCCTACTAAAGCACAAGCGTTGTCTAAACGATTACCGCCGCTTCACGATCTTGCCGAAACTACAGACGTCGATGCGTTAGAAAGTAGCAATTGGGTTATCGGGACTAAAGTGGTCAAGAAAAAGATAGAACCTTCTCCCGGGTAAATCCGATTATCTCTGCTAACTTGTTTCATATCGGGTATCTTGAGATTGTATGTGTGATTCGAGATTGGTTTCGCCAGAAAACCAGTGTTAGATGCGGTACAGAAGAAGCAAAAGAAGAAACGTAAGCGCAAAGGCAAGCTGCCGAAGAACTGCGATCCGAATGTCCCTCCGGATCCGGAGCGATGGTTACCGAGGCACGAGCGTAGCGGATACCGTAAAAAACGGGATAGAAGGAACAGAGATACCGCCATGAAAGGAACGCAGGGAGCCGCTGCAGGAGCTAGTGATCTTTAGTACGTATATATCAAGTGAATTGTGTGTTCTCGTCATACACAATGAGTATACGATACGATCGATCATTACCATTCTTAAAAAAAATAACAATGCAAAGTAACTTTACTCTCGCTTACAGTGACATCACTAAAATGCCCGCGAATACCAAGCCTTCCCCGAATCCTCGTCACAGTCCAGCGGTGGAAACTTCCGGACCACGTCAGCAACAACGCAAAGTCCAACAGAAGAAAAAGAAGAAAGGCAGCAAGTGGTAACGATTTTTATCGGATCGCTATATTAAACTCCACGTTTTCTTGATATATCAATTAGGTGATATAATCTACCAGAAAAAGAAGGAACGTTTCTTACTGTAAGAAATTCAAACAAGAGCAATCAAATGCATTTGCTACCATGTAGCTGTATTTTACATATGTGGAGCGCAACATTTGAATATAATATGTAATACTGCCATTATATAAAAACAAGATAAAATAGGAAAAAATAAAATATACACATGATGTATTATTAAAAATACATACCTTTTAAATTTTTTCCGCCACTTGCCTACGTATCAATTTATCATTCGCGTTATCTAACACCGTACCTTGATACATATAATGTAAGTGATGTATTAAATTCATCTGTTATTTTTCACGTTGTTATAAACTATATTTTATAACCGACGCTTTCTTTTATATTTTGCAAACACAGTTTGGAAAACTCAGAGAAGCAATATGTAAATACAAATATAGGTTTAAATTGAAAATTGAATTGTGCTATATAAAATATTTTTTATTTCCTTCTCAAATATTCGTCAGTCAACTCATCACATATCAACACATGTAAATAACATATCTTTCGCGTACATTGACTAGGGGTAAGCGATACACACATCTTTGTCTTATTGATAACAATCATATATAAAAAATACAATCTGTTTTCTCTCTTTCTTTCTCGTGTTACTCGGCAACATTCAATGCAATATGAATAGATAATGTGATTGTGCGTTGATTTGTAACATTGTTATAACAGATATATAAGTGGCATGAATTAAAATTATAAACGTTTTATATATCGTAGTAGTACACTTGTAATGCCACCATATTTTAAATATATATCAAGTTTTGTTTTCGGACTATATAAGATCTCGTAAAGATGTATTTTGATATATCGCTGACGAATCGATGTATACGTGAAAGGGTCGTATTACTCCTTAATTGCATCTTAACTTATTGTCTCGTAATTAAACTGCATTACACATCATCACTCCTTTGTCGCGTATAAACTCATAACATTGTGACAGCCATTGAGATAATAATGTTACAAAATATTTCAGTTCTCAGTTTTTTAAACTGTTACAAATGTGAATTATTAATGCATTGACATTGTTTTCACATCAGTTAAGAAAATTGCACTCTCATATCGAAAGGTGCCTTACTGATATTTTCTTCACTTTAAGTGTTCCTCTTTATGGTGATACATTTATAAAACATTATCCGTAAAATATTATCGTCTTACCGGTATGTAAAAGATAATTATTCGATATTATGAGTGATCAGATATTTAACCGTCGCAATATCTGTATATTGAACTTGATGCTGTTGTATGTTGAACTGTTATAAATCATCGTGGATCAAAATCGACGTATTGGTGAATTAGCAAATGTACATATATATGTTTATTTGTGTTTGATAAATTGTCTATTTCTTACTATACGGATAAATAAAAGAATAAATAAGTAAGGCACAACTGTATATGCAGACGCTTTATGAGAGCGTCTGCAGTCTCAAGATGAGTACACGCTGAGCAAACACATAAACGAGCGACGGATTGTGACGGATTGTAACTCGACACGCGTCTACCAAACTTTCGTCCTTGAAAGCTCGAGTTCGCCATTCATTCATTCAGCGCGTATCCATCTTTAAGCGTCATTGATCGTGCTGATGCGAGGATAACATTATGCGAGCCACGTGAACTACACCAACTACGCAACCGCGATGACATGTACAAAGTGTGTAATACGAGGAGGTACAAACGATTTATGAATATAATTTATTATGAATTCTCGTATCAGGACGCAATGCTACTTCTCAGGTATTATACCTTCCCAGACATCTTCTCGTTGTTTGTTCGCTAATCGTCTTTTTTCTGCAATACGGAGAACAACTTTAATTGCTTTAAGAGCACATGTCCCTCTTTCAAAACTTGTCAATGTTACATTTATACGTCACACATTATGAAAAAGAAGGCCCAGAACTTACCTTTTGCCTCGCGCAATACGTTCTTCTCGTGTTCGCGTTCTTGTCTAGCTGTGGCGAGCTTCACGCCCAACGCACCCGTGACTAATCTCCTAGCTAAGGCGGCGCACGTCTCGGGACGATTCCTATAAGGTTGCAAAAATTCCGCGCTTTTTCTCGCCTTCGTTTTGCTCAAAGCGCTAGCTTCGCTGAGTGGTCTCGTTTTCACGAATGGATGATCGGACGCTAATACTTCGGCGGCTTAAAAACAAATCAAAGAAGCGAAAAGGAAATACAGCTAGCTGCGATAACGCTGAACGTAAATGTTGACTGTTAATTCTAGAAATTAACGTAACTACATAAATTATGAAACTTGCATACCGATGAGAGGACTGCTGAAAACTCCCAAACAATGCGTGTCATCCACCCACTTGAGTTCAAAACCACCGTTTCTAAAAGGACTGAAAACAGCCGCTAAATCGCTAGTCTTAAACTCGGAAGGAAAATTGTAGATTTCCACAACGTGTGCGAACTCGTCGCTGGACACTTGAACCTGTTTAGTATACGCCTTGTAGTCGTTCTTTGGTTGTTCCACCATTACCTCACCCACTGCCGACGTAAGCTACGTGGAAAGACAAATAACCGATTAATTCAATATAAACAAAAAAAGACAAAGATAAATTGATATCGCGTTTCACAGTTATTAATGTGAAACACACGTATAATAACGAAGTGCGACATGTACTGACTTCTTCTATTAACGTTGGATCCAGACAATCGCCGTTGTCGTCGAACAAACTGTCCCAATCGCACTCGTCTCTATTTATTTTCAAAGGCGGAGAAGGTGGCGGGGCTGGTTTGCTCTTCGGTCTCTCGATCTTCTTCACTTTCTTCTCGGGTGATGTCAGAATCGCAGATACTTGCTCAGAATGTTTCGATTTTTTCTCGACGTTGTCGGAAATGATTAAAACATCCGATATCATGTTCCGCCTAACTAATTGTTCGTTTTGATCGCCCGTAGTATCGCTGCTACATAAACGCTCCATTACTGGCTGGTTTTCTATTACGGTTGACTGCGTCGTTTCTAATTGCTGATCATCAACTTCTATTTTATCGGATGACTCTAATAGATTGAGATTAGTACTACTTTCGTTAAGACTACTAGTCGCCACGGTTTCCAATTGTTCTGATAAAATTGGCACATCGTTTTTCGTTACTTCCAACAGTTCTTGAGTATGTTCGGCACACTCGTGCGTTTCCTGGCTGACGGTTTCGCCGCAACGATGGAAATCCGCAGAAATCACATTCTCCGAGAATTCTTGTGGCAATCGACTGTCTTCGATTTTCGTAGTATGACTTTCAGAGATTTTGTCATCCAAATTCGAATCGCCTATACTTTGTTGAATGCAACATGCATCTTGTGCTTTGGAATTATTATTCGTATTTGAATCTTTGCTCAATGTGGCGTAATTTGTAGACGGAGATTTCAAGTTCCGCGGCCTCTTCTCTTCGGCTTCTAGACTTCTTCGGTGTCTAGGTATATAAACCGCTCGATCGGGCCGTCTTTGACGAGTATTTCTATAATTGCAAACATGTCGACATTAGTGTGCTAGTTTAAAGTACAATTTGCGTCAATTTTGTAAAACTATGACATTGATGGAGCCAGAAACAAATAAAAATATCAGGACGGCTTGTTATAAAATTATTGCGAGTGATGGATGCCAAAAGTTACAATACAGAAATGTAAAACAATGTAAAAAACAATAATATTGATAAACTTTAAAAAGAAGGGATATACTTTTAAAACTGTTAAAATTATTTTGCACTACAGAAATAGAATCAGAAACGGGAATGATGGGCGGCAAACGTCACAGTATAAAAACAAACGAATGAGAAACTAGAATCAGCAAACAAAAGAACATATTAGGGCGACTTTGTTACAAAGTTCTCGCGAATAATGCGCAGCAAAAATTACAGTACAGCAAACTAGATTCAATAATAGAACGAACTTTATATAGTAGCCTTACTTAATCGAAGGAGAATCCGTGGTCGAGTGTATTTGCACGTGTGTCCCGCTCATCTGCGAGCAATTGTTGGCTCTTCTAGCCGCTGGTGGCCTGTAGATTTCGACCGCTGGTATCGACTTGGCTGAAAAGCAAACGAAGATCCCAAAACTTCTTATAACTCGGCCGTTAAGACTCCACTTCAAACATCGATTAATTCAAGCTTATAATTACCTTGTCGCTGGACTTGCGTATGCTCCGGAGACGCTGAGGACGAACGTCGGCCTTCGATACCCATTTTGCGAGTCGCGTCCGCTTGTTTCACCGCAGGACTCACCTTCGACTCAGGAACATTCGGCTTCGGCTCCCAATCACTTTAACAATAAAAACGACGATACGTTAGACCTCTAAAATATCGAAGAATACATCGTGTATCGTGACAATGATTCTATTTGAAGCGCTACGATACTGATAAGATAACAATCGAGAGGTAATCAGGGAACAATTGGCCGATCGAGATCTCAGATAGTACAAATTATTAAAAGAAGTATTAAGGACGTCCAAAAGACGTCTAAATCGACTCTACAACCTTGTGTTTTGCCGTGAGCAGTAAGCAAATTGAACAACCACAATCGATTATTCCAAAAATAATTGACTGTGGTTGGTCGATTTATTTATAGCTTACGACTTAAAGAAAGTTTGTGGATCTGAGGTAAAAGAAGTAGGATGTTTTTTGGACGTCTTTGGGGCATCTTTTAGTAGTTTATACTATCTGGGATTACACAGGATTCCAATAATGCCTTCCATTTCCAATCAGAATGCTTTGACTCTGGCGCATCGTATCTATATATTTTTGTCATGACTAGTCACATTAAATACTAGTGCATATATATGCATTCTCCGCGTGTATTATCGTTCCATTTAGATGTTTGTTTTTTCTTCCATTTAGGTAAAAATAGATATACAATATATAAAGTCCTTAATATGGCTGAGTTGCTGATTCTTCTCAAACCTAACAGTCATAATAATAATAGTATAAAAATATATAGATACGTATCTTAGTCGAAGATGGAAGGCATTGGGAGTCCTGTGTACTTTCGTTTGCGATCGTACAGCGCGCTCGCAATTATGCGCTCGCAATTACACGCTCGCCGTGTCATTGCGTGCAATGAAACAGCTGAGAACAGCTGATTGTGAAGAAACGTCGCTTGACGACGTAGACGATACACAAGATCTCGGCGGTGTCGAACGCGATCGAATCGCGGGGAAAATCATCGACGAGAAATTGCAAACGCAAGTGAGAGCGAGCGTTCGAGCGCTCATGGATGACGAGGAGGAGCGAACGTGCGCGGGTACAATCAGGTGTGCTGCTTCTCCGCGAGGAGAGAGATCGCGGGGAACTTCGAAATTGAGATCGAAGCGGCGACCGAATCGCAACTCGATAACAACTGCTTTTCCACTCGCTCATACCCGGACAGGAGGTACCTTCTCAAGTCGCTCTTGTAGCATATCACGGTACGCCTTGCCGCGCCTTGGCCGATCGAAAATGTGTGCAGCAGATCCGAGAAACGCTCCTGCACCAGCTGGTGTATTATGTATCGGCGATAGTTGTTCACGGGCGGAAAGACGAGCGCTCTGGAAAAGTGAAAAGAGAGAACACGTTTCCACCTGAAAGTGAGACTGAACGGACTGAAGCACGGAGAGATGAGAAGCGCGCTCGATTGTTCGTGGCATCGCCACGAGCCAGGCCAGGCCGGACCAGACCAGGTATTCAGCCCGTTCGTTCGCCTCAGTTTGGTGAACGTAACGCCTTACGTCGCGCTGAACTCCTCGCCGAAGAGAGGGACAAGTGAGCGGGGGCCCGGACGGGAGAGGACGGGACCTTCTTATAACCGCCAGCTAACTTTTACGTAACCCTTTCACTTTCTCTTTCGTCGGTTTCTCGACAATTTCTATGCGACGGACGCGCGACTTGCCGAAAATGTTCTCCCTCTTTCTCTCGTTGTTCTCTTTCCTCGTGGTTTTAACCAGCGACCACGCGCAGTATCAATAGTGTATTATTAGTGTACAGGGGAGAGAGAACGTCTAGTAGTCGGCATTCTACTTGTGTTCCTAGTGCTCTCACGCGGATACCATCAAATATCAAGGTGTATCAATAATATAAGGGGATTCAAAAGGAAACAAATAAATAAATTATTTGTATGAAGAAACTTCGGATCATTTGAACATACTTGTAAAATGTTCTGAAAACTATCGCTTTCTTTTGATAGTCGATAAATTTCCGTAAACTTGGCAAAATCACTTGGAAAGATAGGTAAAAAGGAAAAGTTACTTGTCACGTTGATTTTACGGCTATTTATTGACTGTCAAAGGAAAAAGATAGTCTTCGAAGCATTTTACAAGTATGCTTAAGCAGTCAGAAATATTCTTTCATAAAAAAATTTTTTTATTTAAAAATGACACGCAAGAATTGTGGACATGTGTTTTCTCGCTTCTGACGTCATTAATCACGAGTTTCATGGTCAGTATCCAGTGCTGGGATTTTGTAACTCGTTATTGGAGTTAATGACAGTTTCGTTATCCTTGCGCAACTTTTTTTGGTATGCAAAATCTGCGCAATAATAACGAAACTATCGTGAACTTTAATAACGAGTTACAGAATCTCAGCATTGAAGCCTTAATGAATCCTCGTACACTTTAATGTTTGGTAAAATCCAACCATTGTAAAATGGTAAATGCTATACGAATGTCGGCTACTAAACTGAAAACTTGCCCTTTCTCTCCCTCTTTCTCACTCTTCGAGAGCGATTATATTACGTCTTGCGATCGCTAGCGAAAGTGTCTGCTCGTTTCCTTGAATATGTTTAAAACGCGGCGCATTCGTGAGGGACCGGTTTGCTGCGCCGTCGTGCCACCTTGAACTACAAAGAAGAAATAGAGTGCGCTGCATTATCGCATAAACACGTGGTTACGTGCGATTATCGGCTCGCGTAACCACGTGTGCGTATAAGTGATTACGAGTGTCAACGTACCAAGCGTAAAGCTCGTGAACACTGGGATTAATTAGAGATTGGCGCAGCGCGTCTCGTATACAGCATATGCAGATAGGTGTAAAAGCGCTGGAATGCGGCGAGAGAAGAAATCGTGCCTCGTAGCGTTTTGCAGCGAATTATCAGCGAAGATGATATGCGTTTTTTTTTTATTTATCCTATGCATTGCAAATTATATTAGAGGCTTGTCTGGAACACATGGAATATAATCGATCCAGAAAATGAGTCACCTCATAGATTAGACAATTACCTGAGAACTGACAGTGATTGTTGAAGCATAACAATGGTAGATACTTTGAACATGATACAATGTATTATCTTGTCGCTATTAATTGAAAGAAATATGGCTAAAAATCCCACAAACACACACACACACTTTTGCAGGCTTTCAATATTCTATTCATTTCGTTCAACGACAAGATATACACTTGTGTGATACTTATTTATTTGTATATTATGAATGAAAAGGAAATATCTTTACACGCACACATAGATTTTTTCTTCAGGCTAATTTTATATCACGCGAAATGTAATCGTGTGCTTTGGTTAAAGTGTCGCGAATAAAAGCGGTACTTTTCACAACAGGAATATTTAATTACGAAATTTCTCTTCTTCGTGTAAAATTATCCTAAAGAGAATGGCATGTGCGGATATCTTTCTCGTTTATGGCATGTGTACGTCTCTGGTGCACGCAGAACGTACCAAAATAGCCGAGATAAAAACTATGCTTCGTGTATCTCTCACGGATTGCCGTACCGAAACTAACCTACAAAGAACGGCCTCGACATCGTTTCGGCCTCTCGACGCCGACGTCGACGTCGCTTCGCGTTACATGGATTGTCTCCATACCTTTTGCGCGTCTTATTCCTCGTGAAGGTGATCACGTCGTCTTCGACATCTTCGTAGAACAGGCTATCTTGCAAACTCATTTATCGAATTAGTCTCTGGTTTACGTTCACAAAGACGCATTCGCGCTGATCGGCATGCATTCACTGTTACTCGTCGCGCGAATACCTTTTGACCTTCCGGACACTATTTCGCCGAACTGTTATCACGAACTCTTATATTACACAACAGATCACTGCTGAGTATACGCGGCGGACTGCGCTATATTTTTGTAAGATGGGAACTGATGGGAACTAACGGCTTGTACACACTGCACGCGACAATAAACCATGCGTGGGAAGGAAATGACTGCGCCACCAATCGGCCTTGGCACGTACTTCCGGCCAGGACGACGGCCACTGATTGGCCGTCGAGTGTGGATGCAATTGGATGCAGTGATGTCAGACGTGGGAGTAAGCGCGTGCGCATTAAGTAATACTAACGTATATATTTCGGTCAAATTTAAGGTATCATTAGGCCCCGGTGATAGGAAAAGAAGTTGCAGGAAGAGAAAAAAATTTATATAAAAAAATAGATATAAATAATACAATTAATATTAATGATAATAAGGAAACTTATTTTTTTTTAATTTTTTACATCTGCAGCTCTCTCTCTTTCAATAAATAGCTCCAGGCGACTTCACGTCATGTGTCCCATTCTTATATCTGCAACTTCAACTTCAATATTTGGCTCCAGATCTCTCTAAGAGTTATGCCCCAACGCCATTATTCCGATTTATGATATATTTCGAGAATAAAATCTTGGAAAATTCTAAGGCACGTTCCAAAAAATCAAGGTCCGAACTTGTTCGAACACGTCTTGTCGTGACGGCGGTTAGACCGGGATTATCTGCAGCTGATTGCTTGAATGTCAATCGATACCAATCGATCCATCACAATCGATTTTTTCTTCGATCGCAAGAAGAATAATCAAATACCCTAACAGCACGCGACGTACTGCGTATCATCCCATTTTCGTACTCATTGTACTGTGATCATCTGTGACGTACTAAGTTGAACGCTAGAACGTTACTTATAGTATCATTCGGTTTTCTTTCGCGCTCGAATGTTCTCAGATTTCACTCAGGGATACGGAAATGATACGTACGCGTGCGTATATTCTCAGGTTTGACTGAAATGATACGTACGCATTTGTATCGCGCGCGTATTTACTCAGAACGTACTCAGTCGATCGCAGTAGATATGAGAACATTCTGAGATAATCGCAATATACGCATTGCGATCTACTCAAAACGTCCTCAGAACGTCTCCGTGCTGTTAGGGTATTAGTCAATTTTCTTGCGATCTTGCAATTTGTGACTAATATAAAACTAGTTTAACTTCTCCAGCGAAAAACGTGGAAAAATTACATGAACCCTTTACACGCATCTATTGTTGCATCTAGATACGCCTGTGGAAGGACAACGTCGAGCTGTGACGTCACTTGCACACGCGCAATCTGGGTTGCGTTCTAAAACGTCCTTTTTGAGAAAAATTTGACTCAACCTATAGTCCACGTTATATACTATAGAATATCAAGTAAAATTTTTTTAAAAAGAACGTTTTAGAATGCAACCTTGATCACTAATTGGATGCGCATGTAGCCGTCCAGTTTCGATCACGGGGTTTAAGTTGAGTGCAATCGCACTCAGGCGTTCAACATCTCATGGTTATTAAATAAACAAATTTTTATTATTTATTTTCTTAATTATTTATTTGATAACCTCTAATGGTGTATTCGCAAGCGCATTAGGAAGTAATCCGATCACGTAATAAGGCAAGTTTCAACATATGACATTTAATCATGAATATATAGCTCTTCAAATCTTGTTATCAGCCTGTCCACTCGAATCGAAGGTGCTTAATTTCGAATGAAATAATGAACACGTGATGCCACTTGTATATGTGTATGTGTGTTTATGTGTCGACTCTGAGAACCACTGCGTGCTACACGATAATACAAAAGTGCAAAGTATAATCTTGATGAGAGGGATATTTACGTCACCTTGGTCAATTTGTGTAGTAGTGCGAAAGTCGCAACACATATGCATGTATGCGGCACAGGCTGTAATCGACGGCATTACACGAATCACAGGCCGTAGAGCAATTTTGGAGCGCGCGAGCGTGACTTCGTTTCGCTGTTACTTCCTGGCTGTCTCTGCCTGCCTACATTTCTATCAGAATTTCAACGGTTCTTAATTATATTATTACTGGTACGAACGGGTATTCTACTTAAAGGTGAAGTCGAGGAAACATTTCATTGTCACTCTTCGCGTCGAATCGCTATCGTTATTATTTATCGTGATAACGACGACGACAACCGCCACGACATGAGCACCAGATTTACCGGGATAAAACTGGGACCTCCCATCGAAGTTTTCGCGCTGCAAAAAGCATTTGTCGACGATACTCACGAGAATAAAGTTAATCTTACCATAGGAGGTATGTACGATCATTTTATCCTTCGCAATCAAAACAATCTATTATTAATACCATGTTAAAGTTTCATTTCGTATGGCATATACGTGTGTGCGTATATGTACATGGTTCTTAAAAATATATTTTATTACAAGTTAAAATTCATAGATGAGTGTAAAATGATGTGCGCAACATATAATTATTATTTCCGTATTTTGCATTTCTGGTTCACTTCCAGGATGGTTATGTAATAGATAGTACCACACATGTATATCTACATATTCACACACTCACCACACAGGTCTCTTTTATGTGATTATTTTAAGGAAGTAATAAATAAACCAGTGTGGGAGTAATGGAATGTCTGCTACAAAGTAGCTCTAAGAAAATTCCTTTCGTTTGTATCATGTAAATATAAATTCTAGTTAATTCTTTAATTAAGCACCATATACAATAAATTATAACACACATTTAAAAAATTGTAATATGTGTTTCTTGAGATGCAAATATTGTGAGCCGTATTGATGTCTGACTTGTATTTCTCTTGTGATTTAATTAGCTATTGTGTTAAATCTATGTCGCATAGTTGCACCGTAATGCTCAATTCTGAGGAATTCACATAACTCCCTTTCAGCTTACCGTACCAGCGAGGGTAAACCATGGGTCCTACCAGTTGTAAAAAAAGTAGAAAGGTCACTGGCTACCGATGACTTACAGAACCATGAATATTTGCCAGTCCTTGGCTTAGATGCATTTAGTGAGGCTGCTACGAGTATGTTATTGGGTGCAAACTCTCCTGTTATTGCCCAAGGGCGTGCCTTCAGTATTCAATCACTCTCTGGCACAGGGGCACTGCGTGTCACCGCAGAATTTTTGAGCCATGTTCTACAATATGATACTTTTTACTATAGCAAGCCTTCCTGGGGTAAGTAAGTGCGAAGAGAGATGATACCAGTATTGTCTTGCTCACTGATGAAAATTTGTCCTGTATTGTAAGATTTTGTGTTGGCAGAAAACCATAGACTGGTATTTACTAACGGAGGATTTAAACACGCTTGCGAGTACACATATTGGGACGAGAAGACGCGCAGCATCGACTTGGAGGGTATGCTGGACGATCTGAGAAATGCTCCAGAGAATGCTGTGATCATTTTGCACGCATGCGCGCATAATCCCACCGGATGCGATCCGACTCCGGAGCAATGGGCTAAGATAGCTGACGTGATTGAAGAGAAACGGCTCTTCCCATTGTTCGACAGCGCGTACCAAGTTAGTAATCAATTTTCGATAGTTTGCACGATCGTCACTTTACCTTCGTAGCACGTTGAGATGGAGTTATATGTCGAATTCTAACAGGGCTTCGCGAGCGGCGACTTGGACAAAGACGCGTACGCTGTACGAATGTTCGCCGAGCGTGGGATCGAACTCATCTGCACGCAGAGCTTCGCCAAGAACTTCGGATTGTACAACGAAAGAGTCGGTAACATAGTCTTTGTATTGAATGACACGAAGGAACTGGTGCAAGCTAAGTCGCAATTAACGTTAATCGTCCGAGGAATGTACAGCAACCCTCCCAATCACGGCGCGCGAATCGTCGCGACGGTGCTGAGAAACTCAGAGTTTTTTGAGGAATGGTATTCACATTCTTCATCTCTATATCCTTTACGAAATCATTCTAATCGTTTAAGTAATACGACTCGACATTTTTAGGAGAGAGCATATCAGAACGATGTCCAGTAGAATCAAACAAATGAGAGTAGGTTTGCATCACAGACTGCTTAAATTAGGCACTCCTGGTGTTTGGGATCATATTGTTCAGCAGATTGGGATGTTCTCATATACAGGACTCACTGGTTAGATATACAATTTTATTCTTCGAATTATGTCATTGTCCCTCTAAGCAGAAAGGAACCATTACGAATTTTCGAACGTTTTCTTTTAGAGAGGCAAGTGCAGCATTTGAGAGACAATTATCACATCTATACACTACGCAGCGGCCGTATAAATATGTGCGGACTCAACGAATCTAATTTGGACTATGTGGCTAATGCAATTCACGAAACGGTAATGCTATTGCCGGAAACGCGGGCCGATTGTATATGTTAAAATAAGACGCTCGGACCTCAATATCGTGTTATAAGTACAAAGAAATGATCAAGTCTTGTCATTGAAAAAAATATAGCAATATTTTATATATGACCAAATTCAGGCTAGTCAGGGAAACAATTATTTTTGGACAATATTGAAATCCGTTACACGAAATTGTATATTCTGCCTTCATATTCGATACAATAAGCCTTCCTGTAAGTTCCTCTTTTTAAGGACTTACTAAAATCAAGAAAAAGTAAGTCTTGATCCCTCCACTAATAAGTTGTTCTTTTCCTTTTGTTTCGAAATTTCAAGGGGCAAAAGTACAAAGTATGACAAGATGCCAAATTTTTACTATATATTAATTACGTCACTTTATCGTGATTTTTTTTATATATAGTGTGATTTACCACTAAAAGTTTATTAACAGTTACTAACTTCAAATACTGTGGAAATAGTTGAATATTTACAAAAAATATACATATAAAATCTGAAACATGTACGCAGATACAATTTGATTAATGCTAGAAAAATTTTATCCAAAGATTTTATACTTCAAAATATTTTACTATATATTTTCCATCATAGATTATGCAGTTGAATAATGTGTAAATAACTCTTTCTAAAAAGGTATAACACGATTATTGTAAAGGTAACCTGTATTTTTCCACATACTTGAATAACTTTTATTCTTAGTTTAATGATTACATCTCTCTTATCATGGGGTATAAGTATAAATTTATTTGTATTAAATTTAAAAGTCTCTTATCGTAATTATAATATTGGAATTATATGATATCATGTTAGGATATCATTTGTTTGTTGTTATGAATTGATGTGATAATATTATTTAATTTCATATTTATCTTTCGGCATGTACATGAAAAAAGATTAGGATTTTGTTGTTTCATGTTGTCGATTTTTGAAAAGGCCAAAAATGCAAGGTGCTAGTAAATATTAAAAATTCGTGTTGGTGCTATAGAATCTAGTAAAAGAATTATGACTTATTAATATTCACTGCTCTCTCCAATATTCATCCAGTGTGCTTCCTCAATTATTTTGATAATGCATATGTGAGAGCTAGAATTGTATATATCATTAAAATTTTATTGCAACAAATATTTTGATAAATATAAGTTGAGTACTAAAAAACTTAAATATGTGGAAAATATCACATTATATCACAAAATATACATTATAAGTATATGCATGATAAAGCAGTTAATAATGTATGAACATATATTTGTGGTAATAATTTTGCTGAAATCAGGACCAATACTTCTATTAATCTCAACCAAGATTTACAGAAAATAGATGTGTGATAAAAATGATTAAAAAGAAACATTCTGTACTGCCAATATACAAATTTTCAATGGAAAATTTGTATAAATTTATATAGAAACAGCTGCATATTAATATTTTGTAAAAGAATCTAAAATTCTCTGAATTATAGGGGTCCATATTTTATGAGTTTATAATACACATGTTATAACCTGTATTGATTAATATCACAATCTTTATAATGCAGTGTTACATAGAATAACAATATAATTTTAGTTGAGAGTATTGCTTTTATTATACAATATGTTATTAGATATCATAGATTATATTTCAGCAAATAAAAATTTGAATGAAAAGTCTATCTTAAAATGTATTTAATTGGTCCATATTGAAATTATATATATTTATATATAACCATCCACAAATTCTATTAAATCATAATTATTATTTAAAAATTTAGATTTTTATAATTATAAGTGATTTTATAATCATATATAATCATAAATAAAATTATAATCTCTAAATAATCTAAAAACAAATAAGATTTTCTGATATAACAATATAAACAATTATCTTAGACTTAAACATATATATACATATAAACATATATACACATATATTATCAGAATTTGATTAATCAGTTACAAAGTGCTATGACAAATTGATTATTAGTATATACATTTCTTATTTAGTCTGCCCATTTAGATTCTTTCCTCATTAGTACCACTGTATCATCTGATTTAACTATAGCTTGATAATCGTTTCTCTTGTGATTACGATTCATGTAAAATATATATCCTGAACAACCCAACATTGCTATAATACCAAAAATCATGATAGCTTTGTTCTGTGAATAAAATAAACAAAATCAGTTTCAAAACAAAATCAATCATTCTTTTACTCGGTTTCGTTTTTAATATTAGATATCAATGTATAACCTCACCGGCTTGACATATAATTCATAGTTAACGGCACGGAATAACAAAGTGCTTCGCAATGATCGTAGGCCATCACCTGGGGTTGTATCACGAGTATTTTTACTCATTTTTAGTTTTTAAAAACTTGACATTCAACATTCACTACACTCGTATAGAAAATTGACTAATCTTCTTGCAATAGACCCGTTATTTTTAGGTTACCCGCACAGATGTCTATACTAAACTAGATTGCTAACAGACTATCTAAAAGCATGTAACGGCTTGCGTCCGATAGAGTTGCATGCGAGAAAATGGCCGCTATCGCCACATATTTTCACTATATTTAGTCATAAAATTCTTTTGTTGAAAATGAGCAGAGCAAATAACGTCCAATACTATCTATTTTTTTGTTACGACATTTTTTAATACAATAAGATGCTAGCATTTTTTGTTTTACGACAGTAATTTAATGGTTACGCTGATTCACACAGTGACACATAACACACATAGGATCGCCGCCATTTTCTCGCATGCAACCGGAAACCTTACGCGACGCACGTTCGAAGCCTTGTTGCAATCTAGTTTATAGAATCTGTGCTCAAGGGTCTCTAGCACCTAACTCTGGCCACTAAGGGGCGCTGCACACGAATTGACATAACAGTAACGTAAGACGTACCGTAAAAATGGACCAATTACAATTGAGTATTCACAAAAATGGCGACATTACGGTTCGACGATGCTCAAAGTGATTGGTCAATTCTTACGGTACGTCTTACGTTACTGTTATGTCAATCGTGTGCGGCGCTCCTAAGGGTTTTAAAAAGCAAATTTTAAGCTTTTTATTCATTTTCACAGACAGAGAAATATTACAGACTGATTCATACTCCTATGAGCGATCAAAAATCGAAATGATACTTTTACTTTAACGTTGAATAACTCAGTGAAAAACATCACATTAAAATCTGCAGGTACGCAAATTAAAGAGAAATACCTGCATTTAAAAAAAATATAAGCATATATATCATTTTTCTAATGCTCTGCATTTGTTGAAAACTTACAAAAGAGAGTCACTCGAGAAGACGGTAACAAGAGATATTATTTGAGATCTTGTATCGCAGCTATTATTGATTATTATTTCCTTATCTCACAACGTATCCGCCGAAAATATGCAATAAACACGGTTGTGTAGTTTCACGTTCATGTTTTATGAACATAGTTGCGTTTCTCATATACAGATTGTTGCGAAAGCGAGAGTGGCCATCTCTATGCTCTGCCCGCTAGCAAGCAACGCATGAGCGAGGTTAAAAATGATACATATCAGTGAGGAGGTTATAGGACTAGACCGGCATCATTTACGCATCACTTGAGGGGGTAACGATGAGAATCAATCGTCGGAACAAGATGACAAACGCGGGGCATCGCGTCATACGACGGTAACGTGGTGTTTTTAGGGCTGCTTCTTCGTACGCGCGCGCGCGCGCGCGCGTGCACGTTGCTCGTGTTTGACAGGTAACGTCGACAAACACGACGGCACGACGGAGTGACGACGGGAAACATGTTCGTGTACGTCTGGTCCTTGGTATGCTGGTACCTAAGGCCTATCGTGAAGTGGTTCCTACGTCGGACCACGCAGATGTGCGAGCTGCAAAGAATCTGCTACGGCCAACCGTCGGGGGCGGCGCGCACCTTCGCCGTCGAGAAGTCCCTGAGACGATCGCGTAACGCGAACATCCGGGCATTGGTCGCGCATCTGAATGACACCGCTGATCAGCGTGGGATAAGTACGAAGACGGAGCGCAAGATCCTCGAGGTGGCCATCAAGACTGTGCTGGAGACGAAGAATATCAACCCTGCCGCTCACCCGGACTTCGCCAAGTCGTTCGGCAAATGCGTGGAGCTGATTTGGGGCTACCATCAGCTGTGCGTCGAATGCGAGGAGCTTAGAAAGACGCCCTACAGTACGGACAATCTCGAGCACGAGCAGCTGTTGCTGAAGCTGTGGAATCTGCTGATGCCGCGCGAGCCGTTGGACGCGCGGGTAACCAAGCAGTGGCAGCAGATCGGCTTCCAAGGGGACGATCCGAAGACGGACTTCCGCGGCATGGGCATTCTCGGGCTGGAGAATCTCGTTTATTTTGCTCAAGAGTATCCGAACGCGGCCACTCATGTGCTGTCGCACTCGATTCATCCGCGTTACGGCTACGCGTTCGCAATCGTCGGCATAAACCTCACCAGCATGGCGCTCAAGCTGCTGAGGGACGGCAGTGCGAAAACTCACATATACAACTACTCCAAAACTTTGCCGACAGTTCGTGCCTTTCACCAGTTCTATTGTTACCTGTTCTACGAATTCGATGGCTTTTGGATCGACTCGAAGCCCAGCAATATGATGGAGTTCTCATCTATACAGGAGCAATTCGAGAACAGCATTAGAATTGCATTGGCTAATCCATCGACTGTTTTCAGGATAAACTTGGCAGTTGACAATATCTAATACGTTAATACGAGTGCCTTTTACTCGTAAGACAAGACCAAAATATAGCTGCATAGAAAATAAGTACAATGTCCAGGCTATCGTACACCCATACATATATACACACACAAACTTATTTTTTATTATGTATTTTCACATTATCAGCTTGATTGTGATATTAAGGCTTTTGATTCCTCACTGCGAAACTTTTGATTGATAATGTCAGAGGTAAGAAAATACCCGACAATAAAAATTCTTGCAAGATACGTAGAAATAAAAAAAATATATCTATAGAATGATACATCGATCGGACATATCTATAAAATATTCCGAGCGTTTTCCTTTTGCTTTAACAATCAATAAATTGCTGTAAAATTAACACGACAAGTAACCTGCCTTTTTAATCTGCATTTTTTATTTTGCCACGTTAATTTTATAGTCATTTATTGATTGTTGGAATAAAAAGAAAGTGTTCAGACTATTTTCTCAATCTTCTCAATCGATCGCAGGTGCCATTTTATAGACACATCAATTCTATATATTTTGTGAATTTTTAGCTTGTGTTTTCTTGCTTTTTTGACGTCATAAATTAAGATGGACGCGCAGCGAGCAGCCAGGTCTTAAGATGACATTTGAGTGAATAGTAGATAGGTTTCTCCACTATAGAGATTCCTGCCTTTTCCTTAGTAGTGTAATACAGTTAACACGTCGATGTTCTGCATCATAATTATGTCAATTATGTCAAGTTGTTATAATTTTAGTTTCTCTTGAGTTCACGTAAATTCTACGCAAATAGGATCTATTTACGAAACTAGGACACGAAATTTGTCGCTTACGTATTTAGTTAAACTCTAATATTATACAAAATTAAAAATATTATATATATTATATATTATATAATGTTACATAAATTATATAATATAAATATATATATAATATATATAAAATTATATATATATATATATATATATATATATATATATATATAT